CATCACACTCACCATCACACTCACCATCACACCATCACACTCACCATCACACTCACCATCACACCATCACACTCACCATCACACTCACCATCACACCTTCACACTCACCATCACACTCACCATCACACCATCACACTGACCATCACACTCACCATCACACTCACCATCACACTCACCATCACCATCACACCATCACACTCACCATCACACTCACCTTCACACTCACCATCACACTCACCATCACACTCACCATCACACTCACCATCACACTCACCATCACACCATCACACTCACCATCACACTCACCATCACACCTTCACATTCACCATCACACTCACCATCACACTCACCATCACCATCACACTCACCATCACACTCACCATCACACTCACCATCACACTCACCATCACACCGTCACACTCACCATCACACTCACCATCACACTCACCATCACACCATCACACTCACCATCACACTCACCATCACACTCACCATCACACCATCACACTCACCATCACCACCACACTCACCATCACACTCACCACCACACTCACCATCACACCATCACACTCACCATCACATTCACCATCACACCGTCACACTCACCATCACCATCACACTCACCATCATACTCACCATCACCATCACACTCACCATCACACCATCACACTCACCATCACACTCACCATCACACTCACCATCACACTCACCATCACACCGTCACACTCACCATCACACTCACCATCACACTCACCATCACACTCACCATCACACCGTCACACTCACCATCACACTCACCATCACACTCACCATCACACCATCACACTCACCATCACACTCACCATCACACTCACCATCACACTCACCATCACCACCACACTCACCATCACACTCACCACCACACTCACCATCACACCATCACACTCACCATCACACTCACCATCACACTCACCATCACACTCACCATCACACCGTCACACTCACCATCACCATCACACTCACCATCATACTCACCATCACCATCACACTCACCATCACACCATCACACTCACCATCACACTCACCATCACACTCACCATCACACTCACCATCACACCGTCACACTCACCATCACACTCACCATCACCATCACACTCACCATCACACTCACCATCACCATCACACTCACCATCACACTCACCATCACACACTCACCATCACACTATCACACTCACCATCACACTCACCATCACACTCACCACCACACTCACCATCACACCATCACACTCACCATCACACTCACCATCACACTCACCATCACACTCACCATCACACTCACCACCACACTCACCATCACACCATCACACTCACCATCACACTCACCATCACACTCACCATCACACCATCACACTCACCATCACACTCACCATCACACTCACCATCACACTCACCATCACACTCACCATCACACCATCACACTCACCATCACACTCACCATCACACTCACCATCACCATCACACTCACCATCACACCATCACACTCACCATCACACTCACCATCACCACACTCACCATCACACTCACCATCACACTCACCATCACACTCACCACTACACTCACCATCACACTCACCACTACACTCACCATCACACTCACCATCACCATCACACTCACCATCACACCATCACACTCACCATCACACTCACCATCACCACACTCACCATCACACTCACCATCACACTCACCATCACACCATCACACTCACCATCACACTCACCATCACACTCACCATCACACTTACCATCACGCTCACCATCACACCTACAGCACTTGCCCCTGCAGTGTGTTAAGAGGCTACACGGGGGACCTTTGCCTGCGTCTGTGTGTGTAGGATGAGCTGCGTAACGTGACGGAGCTGCCGTTGGCGTGGAGATATTTCAACCTCTCCTCCCTGGAGGATAACGCAGCCACTTACTGTGAGTTAGTACACTCTGGTCGGAGCGGTGAGGGGTGGGTGGGTGAGTGGGTGAGTGGGTGAATGGGTGGGTGGGTGGGTGAGTGGGTGGGTGAGTGAGTGAGTGAGTGGGTGGGTGGGTGGGTGAGTGGGTGGGTGAGTAAGTGGGTGAGTGAGTGGGTGGTGGGTGGATGGGTGGGTGAGTGGGTGGGTGGTGGGTGGCTGGGTGGGTGGGTGGGTGAGTGGGTGGGTGGGTGAGTGGGTGGGTGGGTGAGTGGGTGGGTGGGTGAGTGGATGGGTGGGTGGGTGGATGGGTGGGTGGGTGAGTGGGTGGGTGGGTGAGTAAGTGGGTGAGTGAGTGGGTGGTGGGTGGATGGGTGGGTGAGTGGGTGGGTGGTGGGTGGTGGGTGGCTGGGTGGGTGAGTGAGTGGGTGGGTGGGTGAGTGAGTGGGTGGGTGGGTGAGTGGGTGGTGGGTGGGTGGATGGGTGGGTGAGTGGGTGAGTGGTGGGTGGTGGGTGGTTGGGTGAGTGAGTGGGTGGGTGAGTGAGTGGTGGGTGGGTGAGTGGTGGGTGGGTGAGTGAGTGTGTGGGTGGGTGAGTGGGTGGGTGAGTGGGTGAGTGAGTGGGTGGGTGGGTGAGTGATTGGTGGGTGGGTGAGTGAGTGTGTGGTTGGGTGAGTGTGTGGGTGGGTGAGTGGGTGAGTGAGTGGGTGGGTGGGTGGGTGAGTGAGTGGGTGGGTGAGTGAGTGGGTGGGTGAGTTGGTGAGTGAGTGGGTGGGTGGGTGAGTGTTGGGCTGGTGAGTGGGTGGGTGGGTGAGTGGGTGAGTGGGTGGGTGGGTAGGTGAGTGGGTGGGTGGGTGAGTGAGTGCGTGGTTGGGTGAGTGGATGGGTGGGTGATTGAGTGAGTGGTTGGGTGAGTGGGTGGTTGAGTGAGTGGATGAGTGAGTGAGTGGGTGGGTGAATGAGTGGGTGAGTGAGTGAGTGAGTGGGTGAGTGAGTGAGTGAGTGGGTGAGTGAGTGAGTGAGTGGGTGGGTGGGTGAGTGAGTGAGTGAGTGGGTGAGTGAGTGAGTGGGTGAGTGAGTGTGAGTGGGTGAATGAGTGAATGGGTGAGTGAGTGAATGAGTAAGTGGGTGGATGAGTGAGTGGGATTGTGAGTGAGTGAATAAGTGGCTGGATGAGTGAGTAGCTGGGTGAGTGAATGATTGAGATGGTGAGTGGGTGGATGAGTGAATGATTGAGTGAGTGAGTGGGTGGATGAATGAGTGAGTGGCTGAGTGAGTGATTGAGTGGGTGAGTGGGTGGATGAATGAGTGAGTGGCTGAGTGAGTGATTGAGTGAGTGAGTGGGTGGATGAATGAGTGAGCGGCTGAGTGAATGATTGAATGAGTGAGTGACTGAGTGAATGATTGAATGAGTGAGTGACTGAGTAGTGATTGAGTCAGTGGCTGGGTGAATGAGTGAGTGGCTGAGTGAGTGAATGAGTTGTTGGATGAGTGACACAGTGGATGAATGAGTGAGTGAGTGACTGAGCGAGTAGCTACTACTCCTACCACTTCTACTACTAACTAGTACTAGTTAGTACTAACTACTGTGTGTGTGCAGCACGAGTGAGGATGGGTGACTACCACTACTATGGACTGGGTAGCGGTGGGAGAGACCTCAAAGCTGCCGCAGAGGCGTACGGAGCAGCAGCACGCACGGGAGACCCAGAGGTACACATACACACACATACACACACATACACACATACACATACATACATACACACACATACACATACACACACACACACATACACACGTACACATACACACACACGTACACACACACGTACACACACACGTACACACACACGTACACACACACGTACACACACACGTACACACACACACGTACACATACACATACATACACATACAAGACAAAGACAAAGATCCCCCGTATAGCCTTAACAGACTGTAGGGGCAAGTGCTGTTAGCGAGCACCTATGAAGGCCGGATCGGTACACGAGGGGGTGGGTGGCCAGCACCACGCCCGACCGCCTTTGTCTCCCTAGTGGCAATGTTTACACACCGCACCAGGTACTCATTTGAGGCTGAGTCGACCTAGGGGAGGCCCGGGACCGGTTCAGATAATCGTCACTGGTGTTGGCTGTGAGCGGGAATCGAACCCGAGTCGCCAGGTTCATAGCGCAGCGTAGCGCTAACCGCTACACTATCGCTTCCCACACACATACACACATACACACACACACATACACACACATACACACACATACACACACATACACACGTACACACACGTACACACACACATACATACACACACACATACACGTACACACGTACACACACACGTACACACATACTACACACATATATACACACACATACACACACACATACACACACACATACACACACATACACACATACACACACGTACACACACACACACGTACACATACACACACACACGTACACACACACACATACACGTACACACACACATACATACACACATACACACACACATACATGCACACACACAGACACACACACACACGTACACACACATACACACATACACACACACATACATACACACACACACGTACACACACACATACATACACACACACATACACGTACACACACACATACACGTACACACACACACAGACACACACACACATACACACACGCACATACACACACACACATACACACACATACATACACACACATACACACATACACACACACACACGTACACACACATACACGTACACACACGTACACACACATCTACACACACACGTACACACACGTACACACACACGTACACACACACACACGTACACACACACATACACACACACGTACACTACACACACACGTACACACACACACACACGTACACACACACGTACACACACACACACGTACACACACACACATACACACACACGTACACTACACACACACGTACACACACACACACGTACACGCACACGTACACACACACACGTACACGCACACACACATACACGCACACACACGTATACACACGTACACACAAACACGTACACACGTACGTGTTTTTAAAATCGGCCAATCAAATGCTAATTTTTATGCTAATTTCTTTGTCAGGACACAGCTTAAAGGTCCGCGGTCTGAGCGTGGCTGTGTTTCACTCCAGCGCTGTCCTCCAGACAGCCTGGTCCCTTCACCTGATGAAGGCCGCTTGTGTTGTGGCCGAAACATCGTGATTTTTGTTATTTAATTTTTTTACCTACGTGACTTTACCCAATAGAACCAAAGAGTACGTACACACGTACACGCACACACACGTACACACACGTACACACGTACACTCGCACACATACACACACACGCACACGTACACACACACGCACACGTACACACACGCACACACACACGTACACACACCTACACACCTACACACGTACACTCGCACACACACACGTACACACACACACGTACACACACATACACACACGTACACTCGCACACACACACGCGTACACACACACGCACACGTACACACACACGCACACGTACACACACGCACACACACACGTACACACACACACGTACATACACAGCACTTGCCCCTACCTTGTGTTGAGGCTACACGGGGGACCTTTGTCTGTGTCTGTGTGCAGTGTTTCTACAGCACTTGCCCCTACCTTGTGTTGGAGGCTACACGGGGGACCTTTGCCTGTGTCTGTGTGTTCAGGGTCTCCACAGCACTTGCCCCTACCTTGTGTTGAGGCTACACGGGGGACCTTTGCCTGTGTCTGTGTTCAGGGTCTCTACAGAACTTGCCCCTACCTTGTGTTGGAGGCTACACGGGGGACCTTTGTCTGTGTGCAGTGTCTCTACAGCACTTGCCCCTACCTTGTGTTGAGGCTACACGGGGAACCTTTGCCTGTGTCTGTGTGTTCTCGGTCTCTACAGCACTTGCCCCTACCTTGTGTTGGAGGCTACATGGGGGACCTTTGCCTGTGTCTGTGTGTTCAGGGTCTCTACAGCACTTGCCCCTACCTTGTGTTAGAGGCTACACGGGGGACCTTTGCCTGTGTCTGTGTGTTCAGGGTCTCTACAGCACTTGCCCCTACCTTGTGTTGGAGGCTACATGGGGGACCTTTGCCTGTGTCTGTGTGTTCAGGGTCTCTACAGCACTTGCCCCTACCTTGTGTTGAGGCTACACGGGGGACCTTTGCCTGTGTCTGTGTGTTCAGGGTCTCTACAGCACTTGCCCCTACCTTGTGTTAGAGGCTACACGGGGGACCTTTGCCTGTGTCTGTGTGTTCAGGGTCTCTACAGCACTTGCCCCTACCTTGTGTTGAGGCTACACGGGGGACCTTTGTCTGTGTGCAGTGTGTTCAGGGTCTCTACAGCACTTGCCCCTACCTTGTGTTGAGGCTACACGGGGGACCTTTGCCTGTGCCTGTGTGTTCAGGGTCTCTACAGCACTTGCCCCTACCTTGTGTTGAGGCTACACGGGGGACCTTTGCCTGTGTCTGTGTGTTCAGGGTCTCTACAGCACTTGCCCCTACCTTGTGTTGGAGGCTACACGGGGGACCTTTGCCTGTGTCTGTGTGTTCAGGGTCTCTACAGCACTTGCCCCTACGTTGTGTTGAGGCTACACGGGTGACCTTTGCCTGTGCCTGTGTGTTCAGGGTCTCTACAGCACTTGCCCCTACCTTGTGTTGAGGCTACACGGGGGACCTTTGCCTGTGTCTGTGTGTTCAGGGTCTCTACAGCACTTGCCCCTACCTTGTGTTAGAGGCTACACGGGGGACCTTTGCCTGTGTCTGTGTGTTCAGGGTCTCTACAGCACTTGCCCCTACCTTGTGTTGAGGCTACACGGGGGACCTTTGTCTGTGTGCAGTGTGTTCAGGGTCTCTACAGCACTTGCCCCTACCTTGTGTTGAGGCTACACGGGGGACCTTTGCCTGTGTCTGTGTGTTCAGGGTCTCTACAGCACTTGCCCCTACCTTGTGTTGGAGGCTACACGGGGGACCTTTGCCTGTGTCTGTGTGTTCAGGGTCTCTACAGCACTTGCCCCTACCTTGTGTTGAGGCTACACGGGGGACCTTTGTCTGTGTGTAGTGTCTCCACAGCACTTGCCCCTACCTTGTGTTGAGGCTACACGGGGGACCTTTGTCTGTGTGCAGTGTCTCTACAGCACTTGCCCCTACCTTGTGTTGGAGGCTACACAGGGGACCTTTGCCTGTGTCTGTGTGCAGTGTCTCTACAGCACTTGCCCCTACCTTGTGTTGGAGGCTACACAGGGGACCTTTGCCTGTGTCTGTGTGCAGTGTCTCTACAGCACTTGCCCCTACCTTGTGTTGGAGGCTACACGGGTGACCTTTGCCTGTGTCTGTGTGTTCAGGGCCTCTACAGCCTCGGCTCGCTGCTTGAGGAGCAGGGCGGGGAGGGTCGTGTCCACGTGCCCAGGGCCGTCTGGGACTCTCTGGGGGTGCCACGTGCTGAGCGTCACACGGCCCGCTCGCTCACCAACTACCTCTACACCAGGTGGACTCACCCACTCGCTCAACCGCTCGCTCACCAACTCGCTCACCAACTCGCTCAGCCACTCACTCAGCCACTCACTCAGCCACCCACTCACTCAGCCACTCACTCAGCCACTCACTCACTCAGCCACTCACTCAGCCACCCACTCAGCCACCCACTCACTCAGCCACTCACTCAGCCACCCACTCAGCCACCCACTCAGCCACCCACTCACTCAGCCACTCACTCACCCACTCAGCCACCCACTCACTCAGCCACTCACTCACTCAGCCACTCACTCACTCAGCCACTCACTCACTCACTCAGCCACCCACTCACTCAGCCACTCACTCACTCACTCAACAACTCGCTCACCCACTCACTCACCCACTCACTCACTCAGCCACCCACTCACTCAGCCACTAACTCACTCACTCAGCCACCCACTCACCCACTCACTCACTCACGCACTCACTCACCCACTCACTCACTCACCCAGTCAGGAACCCACTCACTCACTCACCCACTCACTCACTCAGCCACCAACTCACTCAGCCACCCACTCACTCACCCACTCACTCACCCACTCAGCCACCCACTCACTCACCCACTCACTCACTCACCCACTCACTCACTCACCCACTCACTCACTCAGCCACTAACTCACTCAGCCACTAACTCACTCACTCAGCCACTAACTCACTCACTCAGCCACTCACTCACCCACTCAGCCACCCACTCACTAACCCACTCACTCACTCACCCACTGACTCACTCAGCCACTAACTCACTCACCCACTCACTCACTCACCCACTCACTCAGCCACCCACCCACTCACCCACTCACTCACTCAGCCACTAACTCACTCACTCAGCCACCCACTCACTCACCCACTCACCCACTCACTCACTCAGCCACCCACTCACTCACCCACTCACTCACTCAGCCACTCACTCACCCACTCAGCCACCCACTCACTCACTCACCCACTCACACACTCACCCACTCACTCACTCAGCCACGAACTCACTCACCCACTCCCTCAGCCACCCACTCAATCACCCACTCACTCACTCAGCCACTCACTCACCCACTCAGCCACCCACTCACTAACCCACTCACACACTCACCCACTCACTCAGCCACGAACTCACTCACTCACCCACTCACTCAGCCACTCACTCACTCAGCCACCTACTCACTCACCCACTCACTCAACCACTCAGCCACCCACTCCCTCACCCCCTCACCCACTCACTCACCCACTAACCCATTCACTCACCCACTCACCCACCCACTCACTCACCCGCTCACTTGTACAAACTAAGTTGCCTCTGTGGTAGTAGTTACATTGGAGAAACCAAACGCCATATCTCGGACCGCATTCGTGAACATAAAGCAGACCTTAAACACGGTAGGACCAACACCTCGGCCGTAGCAGATCATTGTTCTAATTCAGTAGGCTCACATGCCATTGACTTTTCCAAGACGGAGGTTCTTTGTAAGCCATCTGGCTTCCATGAGAGATTCGTTCATGAGGCTATACACATATACAAGCACAGAGACAATTTCAACCGAGAAGATGGATTCTATCTTAGCAATCATTGGAAAGATTTGATAAATCATTTCAGTTCTTGATTGATTGTTCACGCTTACAGTGGCTTTCAGACAGCATACATAAAAACAAATTTCGTCTCCCCCCTCCTCTTTTCAAAAAATAGATGGACTAGTCCTGGGCAAACTGCCAATCGTTGCGCGTGACGCAAACGTTATTTTTATATATATATAAATAAATAAATATGCCGTTTTCAAAATAAATTTATGCAAACCGACACACCTGATGATGACCGTTTGAGTTATGGTCGAAACGTCGTGAGAATTTTTTATTGTTTTATATATATTTTGTTATTTTGTTGTTTCTCTTCAACGTGACTTTACCGAAAAAACTAAGAATATGAATTACTGCAGTCACGAAAGCTTTAAATCAAAATTTAATGGTGGTGTTGTTGATGATGATGGTGGTGATGTTGATGTTGGGGTAGGTGCCGGGACCATCACAGCGACGAGGCGATGTTGATGGTGATGTTGATGGTGTTGATGGTGGTGATGATGGTGATGATGGTGATGGTGATGTAGGTGCCGGGACCATCACAGCGACGAGGCGATGTTGCCTTGCTCCTTGGCACTCGCCAGGACTCAGCTCCACGACTTCCTCAAACATCACCATCACTCGTGCATGCAGGTAACACCATCACCATCACCACCATCACCATCATCACCATCATCATCACTACCACCATCATCACCATCACCATCACTCGTGCATGCAGGTAACATCATCATCACCATCATCATCACCATCATCATCACCATCATCATCACCATCACCATCATCACCATCATCATCACTACCACCATCACCATCACTCGTGCATGCAGGTAACACCATCACCATCACCACCATCACCATCATCACCATCATCATCACTACCACCATCATCACCATCACCATCACTCGTGCATGCAGGTAACATCATCATCACCATCATCATCACCATCATCATCACCATCATCATCACCATCACCATCATCACCATCATCATCACTACCACCATCATCACCACCATCACCATCACTCGTGCATGCAGGTAACACCATCATCATCACCATCATCACCATCATCATCACCATCATCACCATCACCACCATCACCACCATCACCATCAACATCACCATCATCATCACCACCATCACCATCATCACCACCATCACCACCATCATCATCACCATCACCACCATCACCATCACTCGTGCATGCAGGTAACATCACCATCATCATCACTACCACCATCATCATCACCATCACTACAACCATCATCACCATCATCACCATCACTCGTGCATGCAGGTAACATCACCACCATCATCACTACCACCATCATCACCATCATCACCATCACTACCACCATAATTACCATCATCACAATCACTCGTGCATGCAGGTAACATCACCACCATCACCACTACCACCATGATCACCATCACCATCATCACCATCACCACCATCATCATTACCATCATCACCATCACTCGTGCATGCAGGTAACATCACCACCATCATCACTACCACCATCATCACCATCATCACCATCACTACCACCATCACCATCATCACCATCACTCGTGCATGCATGTAACATCACCACCATCATCATTACCACCATCATCACCATCATCACCATCACCACCATCAGCATCACCATCACCACCATCACTCGTGCATGCAGGTAACATCACCACCATCATCACTACCACCATCATCACCATCACTACCACCATAATCACCATCATCACAATCACTCGTGCATGCAGGTAACATCACCACCATCACCACTACCACCATGATCACCATCACCATCATCACCATCACCATCACCACCATCATCATTACCATCATCACCATCACTCGTGCATGCAGGTAACATCACCACCATTATCACTACCACCATCATCACCATCATCACCATCACTACCACCATCACCATCATCACCATCACTCGTGCATGCATGTAACATCACCACCATCATCATTACCACCATCATCACCATCATCACCATCACCACCACCAGCATCACCATCATCACCATCACTCGTGCATGCAGGTAACATCACCACCATCATCACCATCACCATCATCACCATCATCATTACCATCATCACCATCACCACCATCACTCGTGCATGCAGGTAACATCACCACCATTATCACTACCACCATCATCACCATCACCATCATCACCATCACCATCACTCGTGCATGCAGGTAACATCACCACCACCATCATCATCACCACCATCACCATCATCAACATCACCACCACCATCATCACCATCATCACCATCACTCGTGCATGCAGGAAACATCATCACCATCACTATCATCACCATTATCACCATCACTCGTGCATGCAGGTAACATCATCACCATCATCACTACCACCATCACCACCATCACCATCATCATCACTACCATCATCACCATCACTCATGCATGCAGGTAACACCATCACCATCATCACCATCATCACCATCATCACTACCACCATCACCACCATCACCATCATCACCATCATCATCACTATCATCATCACCATCACCATCACTCGTGCATGCAGGTAACACCATCATCATCACCATCATCACCATCATCATCACCATCATCACCATCATCATTACCACCATCACCATCACTCGTGCATGCAGGTAACATCACCACCATCACCATCATCACCATCACTACCACCATCATCACCATCACCATCACTCGTGCATGCAGGTAACATCATCACCATCACCATCATCACCATGATCACCATCACTACCACCATCACCATCACTCGTGCATGCAGGTAACATCATCACCATCACCATCATCACCATCACCACCATCACCACCATCACCACCATCATCACCATCATCACCATCACTCGTGCATGCAGGTAACATCATCACCATCACCATCATCACCATCATCACCATCACCATCATCACCACCCTCATCACCATCATCACCACCATCACTACCACCATCATCACCATCATTACCACCATCACCATCACTCGTGCATGCAGGTAACATCATCACCATCATCACCATCATCACCATCACTCGTGCGTGCAAGTAACATCATCACCATCACTACCACCATCACCATCATCACCACCATCACCATCATTACCATCACTCGTGCATGCAGGTAACATCATCACCATCACCATCATCACCATCATCACCATCACTCGTGCATGCAGGTAAAATCATCACCATCACCATCATCACCATCATCACCATCACCTTCATCACCACCCTCATAACCATCATCACCACCATCACCATCACTACCACCATCATCACCATCATTACCACCATCACTCGTGCATGCAGGTAACATCATCACCATCACCATCATCACCACCATCACCATCATCACCACCATCATCACCATCGTCACCATCACCATCACTCGTGCATGCAGGTAACATCATCACCATCACCATCATCACCATCATTACCATCATCACCATCATCACCATCATCACCACCATCATCACCATCACCATCATCACCATCATCACCATCATTACCATCACTACCACCATCATCACCATCACCACCATCACTCGTGCATGCAGGTAACATCATCACCATCATCACCATCACTACCACCATCATCACCATCATCACCACCATCAACATCACTCGTGGATGCAGGTAACATCATCACCATCACCATCATCACCACCATCATCACCATCATCACCATCATCACTATCACTACCACCATCATCACCATCATCACCATCACCATCACCCGTGCATGCAGGTAACATCATCACCATCACCATCATCACTATCACTACCACCATCACCATCACTACCACCATCATCACCATCATCACCACCATCACCATCACTCGTGCATGCAGGTAACATCATCACCATCACCATCATCACAATCACGACCACCATCACCACCATCATCACCACCATCACCATCACTCTTGCATGCAGGTAACATCATCACCATCACCATCATCACCATCACCATCACTACCATCATCATCACCATCATCACCACCATCACCATCACTCGTGCATGCAGGTAACATCATCACCATCACCATGATCACCATCATCACCACCATCACTCGTGCATGCAGGTAACATCATCACCATCACCATCATCACCATCACTACCACCATCATCACCATCATCAACATCACTCGTGCATGCAGGTAACATCATCACCATCATCACCATCACTACCACCATCACCATCATCACCACCATCACCATCACTCGTGCATGCAGGTAACATCATCACCATCATCACCGTCACTACCACCATCATCACCATCATCACCACCATCACCATCACTCGTGCATGCAGGTAACATCATCACCATCATCACCATCACCATCATCACCACCATCACTCGTGCATGCAGGTAACATCACCATCATCACCACCATCACCATCATCACCACCATCACCACCATCACCATCACCATCATCACCATCACCACCATCACCATCATCACCATCATCACCATCATCACCATCGCCACCATCACCACCATCACCATCACTCGTGCATGCAGGTAACATCATCACCATCACCATGATGTTGATGGTGATGTTGATGGTAATGTTGCTGAAGGCGATGGTGGTGATGGTGATGCTGATGGTGATGGCGATGATGGTGGTGATGGTGGTGATGGTGGTGATGGTGGTGGTGATGATGATGCTGATGGTGATGCTGATGGTGGTGATGATGGTGATGATGATGGTGATGATGGTGGTGATGGTGGTGATGATGATGCTGATAGTGATGCTGATGGTGATGCTGATGCTGATGGTGGTGATGATGATGGTGATGATGATGGTGATGATGGTGCTGATGGTGATGATGGTGGTGATGGCGGTGGTGATGATGATGATGGTGTTGATGATGATCCTGATGGTGGTGATGTTGCTGATGGTGGTTATGGTGGTGATGGTGATGATGCTGATGGTGATGATGATGCTGATGGTGATAATGGTGGTGATGTTGCTGATGGTGGTGATGGTGGTGGTGATGATGATGATGCTGATGGTGATGATGATGGTGATGTTGGTGATGGTGATGATGCTGATGGTGATGTTGGTGATGGTGATGATGATGATGGTGGTGATGGTGATGATGATGCTGATGGTGGTGATGGTGGTGATGTTGGTGATGATGATGCTGATGGTGATGATGATGGTGATGATGATGCTGATGATGTTGGTTGCCCTCAGGGAGGGAATGTGCTGGGCATTGCTGTGGTTACAGCACTCACAATCATCACCCTGGTAGCTAAACTACGCGACTGGGCAGGTAACAACATCAGCACCATCATCAACATTATCACCACCATCATCACCCCCACCATCATCCCCACCATCATCACCATCACCCCCACCATCATCAACCCCACCATCATCACCCCCACCATCATCACCACCACCACCACCCCCACCACCATCACCCCCACCATCACCCCCACCATCATCACCCCTACAATCACCCCCACCATCATCATCACCATCATCACCCCTACCATCACCCCCACCATTACCCCCACCATCATCACCACCACCATCATCATCACCAACATCACCCCCACCATCATTACCACCACCATCATCACTACCATCACCCCCACCATCATCATCACCATCATCACCCCCACCATCACCATCATCACCACCACCATCACCTCCACAATCATCACCATCACCATCACCACCACCATCACCTCCACAATCACCACCACCACCTCTACAATCATCACCATTACCACCACCACCATCACCACCATCACCTCCACCACCACCACCACCACCTCCACCACCACCACCACCATCACCACCTCCACCATCACCACCACCATCACCACCTCCATCACCACCACCACCACCACCACCACCACCTCCACCACCACCACCACCATCACCACCTCCACCATCACCACCACCATCACCACCTCCATCACCACCACCACCACCATCACCACCTCCACCATCACCACCACCATCACCACCACCACCACCACCACCACCACCTCCACCACCACCACCACCATCACCACCTCCACCATCACCACCACCATCACCACCTCCATCACCACCACCACCACCATCACCACCTCCACCATCACCACCACCATCACCACCTCCACCATCACCACCACCACCATCACCACCACCACCTCCACCATCACCACCTCCACCGTGCACTGTGTGTGCCCTACAGGTACCCAGGCATCACCTTCCTCTCCGCGTCACGCGGGACTCAACAGAGGCCTCCCATTGGCCAACGGCTCGGCCAATCGCGAGCGGCGGCGCTCCGAGAATTCCCAGGACTTCCCGGAGAATTCCCAAGACCCGGCCGGCCTCCGCACAGATGCCCAGCAGCAGCAGCAGCAACAGCAGGGCGAGTCGGGAATTCCCAAAATTCCAGATGAGGGAATTCCCAGAATTCCAGATGAAGGACTTCCCGGAATTCCAGATGAGGGAATTCCCAGAATTCCAGATGAAGGAATTCCCAGAATTCCAGACGACGAAATTCCCAGAAACCCAGAGGCCGGAATTCCCAACATTTCAGAGGGCGGAATTCCCGGAATTCCAGGAGTGAACTCCCAAGATTCTGGGAATCCCATGCGGCAACAAAATCGGTCCGGGCTGACTGTGGTGGGAGTGCTGACAGGAATCGTTTCCGGAGTCCTGGTCTGGATCTGGCTAATTTAGTGCACGACCGGTACCTGGAGTCAACAATCCTGGTCCCATACAGAGTCCCCGTCTCATCCCATACAGAACCATCCCATACAGAACCATCCTATACAGAACCATCCCATACAGAACCCTCGTCTCATCCCATAGAGAACCATCCCATAGAGAACCATCCCATAGAGAACCATCCCATACAGAACCATCCCATACAAAACCCCCGTCCCATCCCATACAGAACCATCCCATAGAGAACCATCCCATACAGAACCATCCCATACAGAACCATCCCATAGAGAACCATCCCATACAGAACCATCCCATACAGAACCATCCCATACAGAACCATCCCATACAGAACCCTCGACTCATCCCATACAGAACCATCCCATACAGAACCATCCCATACAGAACCCATGGCCCATCCCATAAAAAAACCCCGTCCCATCCCATAGAGAACCATCCCATAGAGAACCATGTCACACAGAACCCTTGGCCCATCCCATACAAAACCCCCGTCCCATCCCATACAGAACCATCCCATACAGAACCCCCGTCTCATCCCATGGAGAACCATCCCATACAGAACCATCCCATAGAGAACCATCCCATACAGAACCCTTGGCCCATCCCATACAAAACCCCCGTCCCATCCCATACAGAACCATCCCATACAGAACCCCCGTCTCATCCCATGGAGAACCATCCCAAACAGAACCATCCCATACAGAACCATCCCATACAGAACCTCTGTCTCATCCCATACAGAACCATCCCATAAAGAACCCCCGTCTCATCCCATACAGAACCATCCCATAAAGAACCCTCATCCCACACAGAATCATCCCATAGAGAACCATCCCATACAGAACCATCCCATACAGAATCATCCCATAGAGAACCATCCCAAACAGAACCATCCCATACAGAACCATCCCATAAAGAACCCTTGTCTCATCCCATGGAGAACCATCCCATACAGAACCCTTCTCCCATCCCATACAGAACTCCCGTCCCATCCCATACAGAACCATCCCATACAGAACCATCCCATACAGAACCCCCGTCTCATCCCATGGAGAACCATCCCATACAGAACCATCCCATAGAGAACCATCCCATAAAGAACCCTTGTCCCATCGCCATACAGAACCCCCGTCCCATCCCATACAGAACCATCGCCATACAGAACCCCCGTCTCATCCCATACAGAACCATCCCATAAAGAACCCTCGTCCCACACAGAATCATCCCATACAGAGCCATCCCATACAGAACCCCCAACTCATCCCATACAGAACCATCCCATAAAGAACCATTCCATAAAGAACCCTCGTCCCACACAGAATCATCCCATACAGAACCATCCCATAGAGAACCATCCCATACAGAACCCTCGTCCCATCGCCATACAGAACCCCCGTCCCATCCCACGCAGAACCATCGCCATGCAGAACCCCCGTCTCATCCCATACAGAACCATCCCATAAAGAACCCTCGTCCCACACAGAATCATCCCATACAGAGCCATCCCATACAGAACCCCCAACTCATCCCATACAGAACCATCCCATAAAGAACCATTCCATAAAGAACCCTCGTCCCACACAGAATCATCCCATGGAGAACCATCCCAAACAGAACCATCCCATACAGAACCCTCGTCCCATCGCCATACAGAACCCCCGTCCCATCCCATACAGAACCATCGCCATGCAGAACCCCCGTCTCATCCCATACGGCCACTACCCAAAGGTCACGTCACCCCAGAGTGTTATGCTTGCGACACGTGGGGCCCCGAACCCCCTGAGTGGAACATCGGCGGCAGTGAGAGACGAGACCTCGGCCTCACCACCTCAGGCCCACGATCCATCCCGGGATCACAAATCCTCCAGAGACCTCGGACACAGTCCCATCATCGGCGAGCTCCTCCTGCAGGCGAGGGGTTGCGTTGGCTGGGTCACGGAGCCCGCGTGCCCAGCCACGGCGTGAGTGGGTGGGTGAGTGAGTGGGTGAGTGGATGGGTGAGTGGGTGAGTGGGTGAGTGGGGGTGTGGGTGAGTGGGTGAGTGAGTGGGTGAGTGAGTGAGTGGGTGGGTGGGTGAGTGGGTGGGTGGGTGGGTGAGTGAGTGAGTGAGTGGGTGGGTGAGTGAGTGGGTGAGTGGGTGAGTGGGTGGGTGGGTGGGTGTGTGGGTGAGTGAGTGAGTGGGTGGGTGAGTGAGTGGGTGGGTGAGTGTGTGGGTGGGTGGATGGGTGTGTGGGTGAGTGGGTGAGTGAGTGGGTGTGTGGGTGGGTGGGTGAGTGGGTGGGTGGGTGGGTGAGTGGGCGGGTGGGTGAGTGGGCGGGTGGGTGGGTGAGTGGGCGGGCGGGTGAGTGAGTGGGCGGGCGGGTGAGTGAGTGGGTGGGTGAGTGAGTGGGTGGGTGAGTGGGCGGGTGGGTGAGTGGGCGGGTGGGTGAGCGGGTGACACGGGCTAGAGACGGAGTGATGTAGTACAGGAGGACGTGGAGCTGAGTGGACTTGCCGATGAGCGCTACCAGCGGTGTTAAGATCGGCCTTTGTGGAGGGGGAGGCTCGTGAAGGACGCTGCTGCTACTGGGGCCAGTGCCAGGCTAGGTGAACGACGCTCACAACAACGAGCGGAGCGCCGGGTGGATAAAGTGCAGCGAGTTGGCACAGTGGGGAGCACATCTGGTGGTGTGGGGGGTGGGGTCACGTGATGTAACGGGCGACGTTTCAGGCAAGAGGCCTTCTTGATGATAGCGAATAGATAGATGTAAATAGATATCTCTCTGTCTCTCAATAAAAGTGGTTTTAAACTGCACGACTTGACTTTGTGTGTCTCTCTGTGTCTGTCTCTGTGTCTGTTTCTGTCTATCTGTGTCTGTCTCTGTTCTCTCGCTCACCCAATCGCCAACTCACTCACCCACCCACTCATTCACTCAGCCACTCACTTAGCCACTCACCCACCAACTCACTCATTCACTCAGTCACTCACCCACCCACTCATTCACTCAGCCACTCACTTAGCCACTCACTCACTCACCCACTCACTCATTCACTCACTCATTCACTCAGTCACTCACCCACCCACTCATTCACTCAGCCACTCACTTAGCCACTCACTCACCCACTCACTCACCCACTCACTCATTCACTCACTCATTCACTCAGTCACTCACCCACCCATTCATTCACTCAGCCACTCACTTAGCCACTCACTCACCTACTCACTCACCCACTCACTCACCCACTCACTCATTCACTCAGTCACCCACCCATTCATTCACTCAGCCACTCACCCACCAACTCACTCATTCACTCAGTCACTCACCCACCCACTCATTCACTCAGCCACTCACTTAGCCACTCACCCACCCACTCACTCATTCACTCACCCACCCACTCATTCACTTACTCACCCACCCACTCATTCACTCAGTCACTCACTTAGCCACTCACCCACCCACTCATTCACTTACCCACCCACTTATTCACTCAGTCACTCACTCACCCACCCACTCATTCACTCAGCCACTCACTTAGCCACTCACTGATCCACTCGCTCAATCACCCACACATTCACTTACCCACTCAGCCACTCACTTAGCCACTCATTCACTCACTCCTCAGCCACTCACTCATTCACTCACTCATTCACTCAGTCACTCACTCAGCCACTCACTCAGCCACTCATTCAGCCATTCATTCATTCACAGCCACTCAGCCACTCACTCATTCACTCATCCACTCACTCCTCAGCCACTCACTCAGCCACTCACTCATTCACTCACTCCTCATTCACTCAGTCACTCACTCAGCCACTCATTCATTCTCACTCAGCCACTCACTCAGCCACTCATTCACTCAGCCACTCACTCCTCAGTCACTCACTCATTCACTCACTCCTCATTCACTCAGCCACTCACTTAGCCACTCACTCACCCACTCACTCACCCACTCACTCATTCACTCACTCATTCACTGTCACTCACCCACCCATTCATTCACTCAGCCACTCACTTAGCCACTCACTCACCTACTCACTCACCCACTCACTCACCCACTCACTCATTCACTCAGTCACCCACCCATTCATTCACTCAGCCACTCACTTAGCCACTCACCCACCAACTCACTCATTCACTCAGTCACTCACCCACCCACTCATTCACTCAGCCACTCACTTAGCCACTCACTCATTCACTCACCCACCCACTCATTCACTTACTCACCCACCCACTCATTCACTCAGTCACTCACTTAGCCACTCACCCACCCACTCATTCACTTACCCACCCACTTATTCACTCAGTCACTCACTCACCCACCCACTCATTCACTCAGCCACTCACTTAGCCACTCACTGATCCACTCGCTCAATCACCCACACATTCACTTACCCACTCAGCCACTCACTTAGCCACTCATTCACTCACTCCTCAGCCACTCACTCATTCACTCACTCATTCACTCAGTCACTCACTCAGCCACTCACTCAGCCACTCATTCAGCCATTCATTCATTCACAGCCACTCAGCCACTCACTCATTCACTCATCCACTCACTCCTCAGCCACTCACTCAGCCACTCACTCAGCCACTCACTCATTCACTCACTCCTCATTCACTCAGTCACTCACTCAGCCACTCATTCATTCTCACTCAGCCACTCACTCAGCCACTCACTCATTCACTCAGCCACTCACTCCTCAGTCACTCACTCATTCACTCACTCATTCACTCACTCCTCATTCACTCAGTCACTCACTCAGCCATTCATTCACAGTCACTCAGCCACTCACTAAGCCACTCACTCATTCACTCAGCCACTCACTCCTCATCCACTCACTCCTCAGCCACTCACTCCTCAGCCACTCACTCCTCAGTCACTCACTCAGCCACTCACTCCTCAGCCACTCACTACTCAGCCACTCACTCATTCACTCAGTCACTTGCTCAGCCACTCATTCATTCACACAGTCACTTACTCAGCCACTCACTCACCCACCTACCCTACTCATGATCACACTCACCTAATCACTCACCTAATCACTCACCATCTCACTCACCTAATCACTCACAATCTCACTCACCATCTCATTCACCTAATCACTCACCCACTCGCTCACGTCATAAACCCCGCCCACCTCGACCCAAGCCTCGCCCCCAATCAACTGAAGCCCCGCCCCTGGTTTTGATACCCCGCCTCCCTTAGACTGAAGGTCCCGCCCTCTTATACTCAAGCCCCTGCCCTCTACGCGTGGAGGCCCCGCCTCCTATTCTCGAGGCCCCACCCCTTTAGTCTCAAGGCCCCGCCCCCTTAGTATCAAGGACCCGACGCCCATCGTCTCGAGGCCCCTCCCCCTAGGCTCGAGGCTCCGTTCCATTAGACTCGAGGCCCCTCCCCCGATGCTCCGTTCCATTCGACTCGAGGCCCCTCCCCCTAAGCTCGAGGCTCCGTTCCATTCGACTCGAGGCCCCGCCCCCCAGTCTCGAGGCCCCTCCCCCTAAGCTCGAGGCTCCGTTCCATTCGACTCGAGGCCCCGCCCCCCAGTCTCAAGGCCCCTCCCCCGAGGCTCCGTTCCATTTGACTCAAGGCCACGCCCCCCCAATTTCGAGGCCCCTCCCCCTAGGCTCGAGGCTTCGTTTCATTCGACTCGAGGCCCCGCCCCCTAGGCCCGAGGCTCCGTTTCATTTGACTCAAGGCCCCGCCCCCCAGTCTCGAGGCCCCGCCTCATCAGCCTCGAGGCCCCCCCCCCTTCGGCTCGAGGCTCCGCCCTCTAATCCTTGAGACGAACAAATCCCCGCCCTAAGCCAAGTTGCTCCGCCCACCCCGTCACGCCGTGACCCCCTAACCCCTCCTCGTGCTCCTGCCCCGCCCCTCTCCCACGTGGCTGTGGAGAAGCCGAGGCCGAAGTCGCCTCAACACGCAGCTCGCGGCGGGGGAGAGCGGAGAGAGAGCGGGGAGAGAGAGCGGGGGGAGAGAGCGGGGAGAGCGGAGAGAGCGGGGAGAGAGACAGAGAGAGGGGGGAGAGCGGGGAGAGGGAGAGAGAGAGCGGGGAGAGAGACAGAGAGAGAGAGCGGGGGGAGAGAGCGGGGAGAGAGAGAGAGCGGGGAGAGAGACAGAGAGAGAGAGAGAGGGGGGAGAGCGGGGAGAGAGAGAGAGAGAGGGGGGGAGAGCGGGGAGAGGGAGAGAGAGAGCGGGGAGAGAGAGACAGAGAGAGAGAGAGCGGGGGGGAGAGACAGAGAGAGAGCGGGGGGAGAGAGCGGGGAGAGAGAGAGAGAGAGGGGGGAGAGCGGGGAGAGAGAGAGAGAGAGGGGGGGAGAGCGGGGAGAGGGAGAGAGAGAGCGGGGAGAGACAGAGGCATAGGCAGAGAGAGAGACAGAGAGGGAGAGGACAGAGAGAGGCATAGGCAGAGAGAGAAGGACAGAGGGAGACAGAGAGAGGCATAGGCAGAGAGAGGGGGAGAGAGACAGAGAGAGAGAGGGAGAGACAGAGAGGGAGTGACAGAGAGACAGAGGGAGAGAGAGAGAGGGAGAGAGACAGAGAGAGAGACAGAGAGGGAGAGAGAGAGGAGCGTGAGTCCCCATCCATTAACTCGCCTCGCCGCGTGAGACGGCCCAGCGCGGATGGCCGGCAGACGCAACAATCAGCTGGCGCACAGCGTCCAGCAGTTGCAGAACCTGGTCAAGCGAGACCCGGAGTCCTACCGAGACGAGGCGAGCACTGTACACGCTACGGGCCGCACTGTACACGCTACGGGCCGCACTGTACACGCTACGGGCCGCACTGTACACGCTACGGGCCGCACTGTACACGCGCGGGCCGCACTGTGCACGCACTGTACCGGCGACACTTTTCTGTAGCACTGTACACGCGCGGGCCCCACTGTACACGCGCGCGCTGTCACCCACGCGGTCCGCACTGTACGCGCACTGTACCGGCGTCACTTTTCTGTAGCACTGTACCACCACGCGGGCTGTACAGTGCACGGGGCGTACAGTGCAGCCTCGGACCCACGTGTCGCACCGCAAAAGGCGCTACAGTGGCACGCGCGCGCGCACTGTACGCGGTACGTACAGTGCGTGTACAGTGGTCGCGTGCGGAGCACTGTATAGATGATGGTGATGTTGGTTGTTATGATGGTAGAGATGCTACTACTACTGATGCTACTACTACTGCTGCTGATACTACTGTTACTGCTGCTGCTACTACTGATGCTGCTACTACTGCTTCTGATGCTACTACTACTGCTGCTACTACTGATGCTGCTACTACTGCTTCTGATGCTACTACTACTGCTGCTACTACTGCTGCTGATACTACTGTTACTGCTGCTGCTACTGCTTCTGATGTTGCTGCTACTACTGCTGCTTTTGCGACTGCTGCTGCTACTACTGCTGATGATACTACTACTGCTGATGATACTACTGCTGATGATACTACTACTGCTGATGCTGCTACTACTACTGCTGATGCTGCTACTGCTGATGCTGATACTACTACTACTGATCCTACTGCTCCTGATACTACTACTACTGCTGATACTACTGCTGATACTACTACTGCTGATACTACTGATACTATTACTACTGGTACTACTACTGCTGCTGCTGATACTACTGCTGCTGATGCTACTACTGCTTCTACTACTGCTGATACTACTACTGCTGATACTACGACTGCTGATACTACTGATACTATTACTACTGATACTACTACTGTTGCTGCTGATACTACTGCTGCTGATGCTACTAGTGCTTCTACTACTGCTGATACTACTACTGCTGCTACTACTGCTGCTACTATTACTGCTGATACTACTGCTGATACTATTACTACTAATACTACTACTGTTGCTGCTGATACTACTGCTGCTGATGCTACTACTGCTTCTACTACTGCTGATACTACTACTGTTACTGCTGCTACTACTGCTGCTGCTACTACTGCTGCTGCTACTGCTGATGCTGCTACTACTGATGATACTACTGCTGATCCTACTGCTCCTGATACTACTACTGCTGATACTACTGCTGCTACTACTACTGCTCCTGATACTACTACTGCTGCTACTACTGCTACTGCTGATACTACTGCTGATACTACTACTGCTGATACTACTGATACTATTACTACTGATACTACTACTGTTGCTGCTGATACTACTGATGCTACTACTGCTTCTACTACTGCTGATACTACTACTGCTGCTGCTACTACTACTGTTGCTGATGCTACTACTGCAACAACTGCTACTACTACTGCTGCTACTACTGCTGATACTACTACTGCTGCTGATACTACTACTACTGCTGATACTACTACTACTGCTGCTGATACTACTACTACTGCTGATACTACTACTACTACTGCTGCTGCTGATACTACTACTGTTGCTGATACTGCTGCTACTGTTGGTGATGTGTGCACAGTTCCTGCAGCAGTATCGTCACTATGAGTCGAAGCTGGAGGTGTTTCAGCTCCACCCGGAGCAGCCCAACAAGGAACTGGGGGAGCTCATCATGTTTATAGCACAGGTCTGTAGTACACATACTATAGTACTATAGTACACATACTATAGTACTATAGTACACACACTATAGTACTATAGTACACATACTATAGTTCACACACTATAGTACACGTACTATAGTCCTATAGTACAATACTATAGTACACATACTGTAGTACTATAGTACACACACTATAGTACTATAGTACACACACTATAGTACTATAGTACACGTACTATAGTAGTCTGTAGTACACATACTATAGTCCTATAGTACACATACTATAGTCCTATAGTACACATACTATAATACTATAGTACACATGCTATAGTACACGTGCTATAGTACACGTACTATAGTACTGTAGTACACATACTATAGTACACATACTATAGTACTATAGTATGCGTACTATAGTACTATAGTACACGTACTATAGTACTATAGTACACATACTATAGTACTATAGTACACGTACTATAGTACTATAGTACACGTACTATAGTACACATACTATAGTACACATACTATAGTACACATACTATAGTCCTATAGTACACATACTATAGTACACACACTATAGTACTATAGTACACACACTATAGTACTATAGTACACGTACTATAGTAGTCTGTAGTACACATACTATAGTCCTATAGTACACATACTATAGTCCTATAGTACACATACTATAATACTATAGTACACGTGCTATAGTACACGTGCTATAGTACACGTACTATAGTACTGTAGTACACATACTATAGTACACATACTATAGTACTATAGTATGCGTACTATAGTACTATAGTACACATACTATAGTACTATAGTACACGTACTATAGTACTATAGTACACGTACTATAATACTATAGTACTATAGTACACATGCTATAGTACACGTACTATAGTACTATAGTACACATACTATAGTTCACATACTATAGTACACATACTATAGTACACATACTATAGTACTATAGTACACATACTATAATACTATAGTACTATAGTACACATGCTATAGTACACGTACTATAGTACTATAGTACACGTGCTATAGTACACGTACTATAGTACTATAGTACACGTACTATAGTACACATACTATAGTACTATAGTATGTGTACTATAGTACTATATTACACATACTATAGTACACGTACTATAGTACTATAGTACACGTACTATAGTACACGTACTATAGTACACGTACTATAGTACACATACTATAGTACTATAGTACACACACTATAGTATGTGAACTATAGTACACATACTATAGTACTATAGTACACACACTATAGTACTATAGTACACGTACTATAGTAGTCTGTAGTACACGTACTATAGTAGTCTGTAGTACACATACTATAGTCCTATAGTACACATACTATAGTCCTATAGTACACATACTATAATACTATAGTACACGTGCTATAGTACACGTGCTATAGTACACGTACTATAGTACTGTAGTACACATACTATAGTACACATACTATAGTACTGTAGTATGTGTACTATAGTACTATAGTACACGTACTATAGTACACGTACTATAGTACTATAGTACACGTACTATAGTACTATAGTACACGTACTATAGTACTATAGTACACACACACTATAGTACACGTACTATAGTACTATAGTACACGTACTATAGTACTATAGTACACGTACTATAGTACTATGGTACACGTACTATAGTACTATGGTACACGTACTATAGTCCTATAGTACACATACTATAGTACACATACTATAGTACTATAGTACACATACTATAGTTCACATACTATAGTACTATAGTACACATACTATAGTACACATACTATAGTTCACATACTATAGTACTATAGTACACATACTATAATACTATAGTACTATATTACACATGCTATAGTACACGTACTATAGTACTATAGTACACGTGCTATAGTACACGTACTATAGTACTATAGTACACGTACTATAGTACACGTACTATAGTACTATAGTATGTGTACTATAGTACTATATTACACATACTATAGTACACGTACTATAGTACTATAGTACACATACTATAGTACTATAGTACACACACTATAGTATGTGAACTATAGTACACATACTATAGTACTATAGTACACATACTATAGTACACGTACTATAGTACTATAGTACACATACTATAGTGCTATAGTACACATACTATAGTACTATAGTACACATACTATAGTACTATAGTACACATACTATAGTACTATAGTACACATACTATAGTACTATAGTACACATACTATAGTACACATACTATAGTTCACATACTATAGTACACATACTATAGTCCTATAGTACAATACTATAGGACTATAGTACACATACTATAGTACACATACTATAGTACTATAGTACACATACTATAGTACTATAGTACACATACTATAGTACTATAGTACACATACTATAGTAATATAGTACACATACTATAGTACACATACTATAGTACTATAGTACACATACTATAGTCCTATAGTACACATACTATAATACTATAGTACACATACTATAATACTATAGTACACGTGCTATAGTACACGTGCTATAGTACACGTACTATAGTACTGTAGTACACATACTATAGTACACACATACTATAGTACTATAGTATGTGTGTACTATAGTACTATAGTACACACGTACTATAGTACACGTACTATAGTACTATAGTACACACACACTATAGTACACGTACTATAGTACTATAGTACACGTACTATAGTACTATAGTACACGTACTATAGTACACATACTATCGTACACATACTATAGTCCTATAGTACACATACTATAGTACACATACTATAGTACTATAGTATACATACTATAGTTCACATACTATAGTAATATAGTACACATACTATAGTACACATACTATAGTACTATAGTACACATACTATAATACTATAGTACTATAGTACACATGCTATAGTACACGTACTATAGTACTATAGTACACGTGCTATAGTACACGTACTATAGTACTATAGTACACGTACTATAGTACACGTACTATAGTACTATAGTATGTGTACTATAGTACTATATTACACATACTATAGTACACGTACTATAGTACTATAGTACACGTACTATAGTACACATACTATAGTACACGTACTATAGTACACATACTATAGTACTATAGTACACACACTATAGTATGTGAACTATAGTACACATACTATAGTACTATAGTACACGTACTATAGTACTATAGTACACAAACTATAGTACTATAGTACACATACTATAGTACTATAGTACACATACTATAGTACACATACTATAGTACTATAGTACACATACTATAGTACACATACTATAGTTCACATACTATAGTACACATACTATAGTCCTATAGTACAATACTATAGTCCTATAGTACAATACTATAGTCCTATAGTACAATACTATAGTCCTATAGTACAATACTATAGTACTATATTACACATACTATAGTACTATAGTACACATACTATAGTAATATAGTACACATACTATAGTACACATACTATAGTACTATAGTACACATACTATAGTACTATAGTACACATACTATAGTAATATAGTACACATACTATAGTACTATAGTACACATACTATAGTACACTATAGTATGTGTACTATAGTGTACTATAGTATGTGTGCTATAGTACGTGTGCTATAGTTCACTACTACTATAGTACACAGTCTATAGTACACATACTATAGTAGACATTCTATAGTAGACAGTCTATAGTACACAGTCTATAGTACACACGCACAGTCTATAGTACACACTACTGATACTATTGCCACTGATACTATTGCTACTGATACTATTGCTATTGATACTACTGATACTATTGCTGCTACTGATACTACTGATATTATTGCTACTACTGATACTATTGCTGCTACTGATACTATTGCTGCTACTGATACGACTGATACTATTGCTGTAACTGATACTACTGATACTATTGCTGCTACTGATACTATTGCTGCTACTGATACTATTGCTACTACTGATACTATTGCTGCTACTGATACTATTGCTGCTACTGAGACTATTGCTGCTACTGATACTACTGATACTATTGCTATTGCTACTACTGATACTACCTATAGTACTGATACTACTGATGCTATTGCTGATACTACTGATACTATTGCTATTGCTACTACTGATACTACTGCTACTATTGCTATTGCTACTACTGATACTACCTATAGTACTGATACTATTGCTACTACTGATACTATTGCAATTGCTACTACTGATACTATTGCTACTACTGATACTACTGCTACTATTGCTATTGCTACTACTGGTACTACCTATAGTACTGATACTATTGCTACTACTGATACTACTGCTACTATTGCTATTGCTACTACTGATACTATTGCTACTACTGATACTACTGATACTATTGCTACTACTGATACTACCTATAGTACTGATACTATTGCTACTACTGATACTATTGCTATTGCTACTACTGATACTATTGCTACTACTGATACTACTGCTACTATTGCTATTGCTACTACTGGTACTACCTATAGTGCTGATACTATTGCTACTACTGATACTACTGCTACTATTGCTATTGCTACTACTGGTACTACCTATAGTACTGATACTATTGCTACTACTGATACTACTGCTATTGCTATTGCTACTACTGATACTATTGCTACTACTGATACTACTGATACTATTGCTACTACTGATACTACTGCTACTATTGCTATTGCTACTACTGGTACTACCTATAGTACTGATACTATTGCTACTACTGATACTACTGATACTATTGCCCCTGTAGGTGGCTCACTGCTACAAGGATCTCCTAGCGGAGTTCCCGCAGCACCTCGCTCAGCTCCTGCAGCAGCACCACTCGACCACCGACACGGAACTGCGCATGGTACCCCCCTCCCCTCCCCCCGTGTACCCTCACCACGCCCCCGTGTACCCTCACCACCACAGGTGTACACTCACCACCACAGGTGTAGCCTCACCACCACAGGTGTAGCCTCACCACAGGTGTACACTCACCACCACAGATGTACACTCACCACCACAGGTGTAGCCTCACCACAGGTGTAGCCTCACCACAGGTGTACCCTCACCACCACAGGTGTAGCCTCACCACCACAGGTGTAGCCTCACCACCACAGGTGTACCCTCACCACCACAGGTGTACCCTCACCACCACAGGTGTAGCCTCACCACCACAGGTGTAGCCTCACCACCACAGGTGTACCCTCACCACCACAGGTGTACCCTCACCACCACAGGTGTACACTCACCACCACAGGTGTAGCCTCACCACCACAGGTGTAGCCTCACCACCACAGGTGTACACTCACCACCACAGGTGTACACTCACCACAGGTGTACACTCACTACCACAGGTGTAGCCTCACCACCACAGGTGTACACTCACCACCACAGGTGTACCCTCACCACAGGTGTACACTCACTACCACAGGTGTACACTCACCACCACAGGTGTAGCCTCACCACCACAGGTGTACACTCACCACCACAGGTGTACACTCACCACCACAGGTGTACCCTCACCACCACAGGTGTACCCTCACCACCACAGGTGTACCCTCACCACCACAGGTGTACACTCACCACCACAGGTGTACACTCACCACAGGTGTACCCTCACCACAGGTGTACACTCACCACCACAGGTGTACCCTCACCACCACAGGTGTACACTCACCACCACAGGTGTAGCCTCACCACAGGTGTACACTCACCACCACAGGTGTAGCCTCACCACCACAGGTGTACACTCACCACCACAGGTGTAGCCTCACCACCACAGGTGTACACTCACCACCACAGGTGTACACTCACCACCACAGGTGTACACTCACCACCACAGGTGTACACTCACCACAGGTGTATACTCACCACAGGTGTAGCCTCACCACCACAGGTGTACCCTCACCACAGGTGTACACTCACCACAGGTGTACCCTCACCACAGGTGTACACTCACCACCACAGGTGTACCCTCACCACCACAGGTGTACCCTCACCACCACAGGTGTACCCTCACCACAGGTGTACCCTCACCACCACAGGTGTAGCCTCACCACCACAGGTGTATACTCACCACAGGTGTACACTCACCACCACAGGTGTACACTCACCACAGGTGTACACTCACCACCACAGGTGTACCCTCACCACCACAGGTGTACACTCACCACCACAGGTGTACCCTCACCACCACAGGTGTAGCCTCACCACCACAGGTGTAGCCTCACCACCACAGGTGTACACTCACCACAGGTGTACCCTCACCACCACAGGTGTACCCTCACCACCACAGGTGTACCCTCACCACCACAGGTGTACACTCACCACAGGTGTACCCTCACCACCACAGGTGTACCCTCACCACCACAGGTGTACACTCACCACCACAGGTGTACACTCACCACCACAGGTGTGCACTCACCACCACAGGTGTAGCCTCACCACCACAGGTGTACCCTCACCACCACAGGTGTACACTCACTACAGGTGTAGGTGTGTGTGTAGATGTGTAGGTGTGTGTGTGTGTAGGTGTGTCGCTGTGTAGGTGTGTCACTGTGTAGGTGTGTCGCTGTGTGTGTAGGTGTGTGTGTGTAGGTGTGCGTGTGTAGCTGTGTAGGTGTAGGTGTGTAGCTGTTCCGGCATCGGCGCATCCACACAACATCATGGATGCATGCCGGGTCCAAGCAAGAACATCTGCTGGACTACATAGTGACGGACCAGCGGATGCAAGCCCATGTCCTTGACACCTGGACCTACCGTGGAGCTGATCTGCCCTCTGACCATCGACTTGTCATCTGTAAGATGCGCCTGCCATTCTTCCACTCCGGTGGTGGGTGTACACCCAGGACCCCATTCCAACCTAAAGTGGCCTGGTCTCAGTTATCTGATGAAAGTTGCAAGCGAGGATTCCATCATCCCCTGCGGCTGGGGTTGGCATCGTCCCCGACTCCTCCTGATGTCGAGGGTAAATGGGCGAGGTTTAGGACTGTGACTCATGCAGCTGTAATGGCTGCTTTGGGTACGCGGTCCAGACCTCCCCAGAGACCGTGGCTGACAGAGGAGGTGTTCAGGATGGCTGAGAAAAAGCGACAGGCCCACTGTCATCGGCTACAGAATCCCACGTCAGAGAATGAGGAGGCTTACCGCAGCCTTCGCTCGGAGGTTCGGAGAGCCTGTGAGGCGCTGCAAGGATGGGTGGTGGTCGCGGGTTGCTGAGGAGATGGAGTCTGCCTCAGTGGCCCGCGATCACAAATCTCTATTTAAATGAACTCCATCAAAAAAGTAACCTGCAGCGCCACACCTATTACCATCATTAGGGGAAAAAACGGTGACCCAATCTCCGACCCCCAGGAACAGGTTTGCAGATTTGCTGAGCATTTTGGTGAGGTCCTGGGGGAGGGAAAATCCCTGCTGAGGCTGCAGTGCCTCAAATATTGGAAGAAGTCACCCCCTGTGAGTGGCTGGCTGAGGTGCCATCTGCTGAGGAAGTATTGAAGGCGATCCGGAGTCTGAGACCAGGAAAGGCAGCGGGCAGAGATGATCTCCCAAGTGAAATGCTGAGGGAGGGTGGCGTTTGTGCACAGACTGCCCTATTTGACATCATAACAACAGTCTGGACCACTGGACGGGTTCCGCAGGATTGGAAGGATGCCCTGGTGGTCCCCCTTTTTAAGAAGGGGGACCGCACAGACTGTAACAACTACAGGGGCATCTCACTCCTCAGTGTGCCGGGAAAGGTCCTGGCAAGGATTATTCAGCATCGCCTTGCCAGGCACGCTGAGGAGAGGCTTGCGGAGCCCCAATGCGGTTTCAGGAAAGGGCGGTCCTGCACAGATGCCATATTTTCTGTCCGTCTGCTACAGCAGAGGTGTAGGGAATTCCAACAAGACCTACATCTTTGCTTTATTGACCTGGTCAAGGCCTATGATACCATCAGTAGGCCTGGGCTCTGGGTCGTTCTTCGTGCTTTTGGAGTACCTGACCCTCTGCTCACGATCATTAAGGACCTTCATGATGGTGAGCGGGCCCGGGTAAAACTACGTGGCCAGGAGTCAGAGCCATTCGCTGTACACCTTAGGGTGCGACAGGGATGTCCTCTGGCTCCCACATTATTTAACATCTATTTTGACCACGTAGTTCGTGAAGCCTTCAATAGCTGTACCGGGGGAATCTCCATACGGTACAGATATAATGGGAGGCTAATCGATGCCCGGGTGCGGTCAAGGGATGGCTCCCTATTGCTCAACCACGTTATGTATGCTGATGATTTGGTAATAGCTGCTCAGTCAGAGGAGGAGTTGGAGACGCTGCTGCTGAGACTGGAGCGTGCCACTAAGAGGTGGGGCCTTACCATCAGCCCCACCAAAACTAAGCACCTGCCTGGGTATTTTGTACCATCGGACACTCCACCCCCACAACTCCCAATCGGTGATGGGGCAGTTGTGGAGAGAGTGGAGAGTTTCCCATACCTGGGCAGTGTGCGTATGACTGGCTCCAGTTTAACAGCAGAGGTCTCACTCCGAATCAGTCGAGCGGCAATATCTTTTCATCGGTTGCGTAACGCTGTGTGGAAGCTACCTGGTCTGTCGCTCTGCACTAAGCTTCAGGTCTTCTCGGCCACGGTCATTCCCTCCCTTCTCTATGCTTGCGAAACGTGGACCCCCCTAATGGAACATCTTCGCCGGTTAGAAACATTTAGGCTGGCCTCCCTACGATCCATCCTGGGTTTAACCAGACTGGATTGTGTGAGGAGTTCACAAATCCTTGAAAGATCTGGGCAGGGTCCCATCGGTGAGCTCCTCCGGCAGGCAAGGCTGCGATGGCTGGGTCATGTAGCCCGCATGCCCAGCCACCGCATGCCGAAACAGCTTTTGTTTGGCCGGATTGAGGGGGCTAAGCGGGCGCGGCACGGGCTAGAGAAGAGATGGAGTGATGTGGTACAGGAGGACGTGGAGCTGAGTGGACTTGCCGATGACTGGTACCAGCGGTGTCAAGATCGGCCTCTGTGGAGGAGGCTCGTGAAGGATGCTACTGGGCAGTTGGAGGTAGTCGCCCTCCAACAACAACGGAGGGCGGAGGAGCGACGCTCAGAACAACGAGCGGAGCGCCGGGTGGCTAAAGCACAGCAGGTTGGCACAGTAGGGGGCACAGGTGGTGCATCAGCCAGTCATCTCAGTCAGTCGACCCGTGGCACCTGGGTCTGTCCCGTGACCTCCTGCCAGCGGGCGTTCGACACTTCACGTGGCCTCAGGGTGCACATAGCCTGGCACAAGCGTCGTGGTGACGTCACCGCCACTTAGTGGCGAATGGCGGTTGATGTTGTTGTAGGTGTGTGTGTGTGTAGAGCTGTGTGTAGCTGTGTGTGTGTGGGTGTGTGTGTAGAGCTGTGTGTGTGTAGCTGTGTGTGTAGCTGTGTGTGTGGGTGTGTGTGTGTGGCCTGGCACAAGCGTCGTGGTGACGTCACCGCCACTTAGTGGCGAATGTCGGTTGTTGTTGTGTAGGTGTGTGTGTAGCGCTGTGTGTGTGTAGCTGTGTGTGTAGCTGTGTGGGTGTGTGTGTGTAGGTGTGTGTGTAGATGTGTGTGTGTGTAGGTGCGTGTAGGTGTGTGTGTGTGTGTAGCTGTGTGTGTGTGGGTGTATGTGTGTATATGTGTGTGTGTAGGTGTGTGTAGATGTGTGTGTGTGTGTGTAGATGTGTGTGTGTGTAGCTGTTGATGTGTGTGTGTAGGTGTGTGTAGGTGTATGTGTGTAGGTGTGTAGATGTGTGTGTAGCTGTGTGTGTGTAGATGTGTGTGTGTGTGTGTAGATGTGTGTGTGTGTACATGTGTGTAGATGTGTGTGTGTACGTGTGTGTAGGTGTGTGTGTGGTAGGTGTATGTGTGTGTAGGTGTGTGTGTGTGTGTGTAGGTGTGTGTGTGTGTGTAGGTATGTGTGTAGATGTGTGTGTGTGTAGGTGTGTGTGTGTGTAGGTGTGTGTGTAGGTGTGTGTGTAGGTGTGTGTGTGTACGTGTGTCTAGGTGTGTGTGTGTAGGTGTGTGTGTGTAGGTGTGTGTAGGTGTGTGTGTGTACGTGTGTGTAGGTGTGTGTGTGTACGTGTGTCTAGGTGTGTGTGTGTAGGTGTGTGTGTGTACGTGTGTGTAGGTGTGTGTGTGTACGTGTGTCTAGGTGTGTGTGTGTAGGTGTGTGTGTGTACGTGTGTGTAGGTGTGTGTGTGTACGTGTGTCTAGGTGTGTGTGTGTAGGTGTATGTGTGTACGTGTGTCTAGGTCTGTGTGTGTAGGTGTGTGTGTGTGCGCGCGCTACTCAGCTCTCCAGCACTTGCCCCTGCAGTGTGTTGAGAGGCTACCCGGGGGACCTTTGCCAGTGCCTGTGCAGAGCGCTGATCCTCATGAGGCACAAGGATCTGGTGCAGCCTCTGGGCCTGCTGGAGCTCTTCTTCACCCTGCTGCGTTGTCCAGACAAGCTGCTACGCAAGGTGGGCCGGTCACCGTGGGTGGGTGGCACCGTGGGTGGGTGGGGTGGGTGGGTGGGGTTTACGGTGGGTGGGTGGGGTTCATGGTGGGTGGGGTGGGGTGGGTGGGGTGGGTTCACGGTGGGTGGGGTGGGGTGGGTGGGGTTCATGGTGGGGTGGGTGGGGTGGGTGGGGTGGGCCGGGTCACGGTGGGTGGGTGGGTGGGGTCGGTGGGGTTCATGGTGGGTGGGGTGGGTGGGCCGGGTCACGGTGGGTGGGTGGGGTGGGTGGGGTGGGTGGTTTCACGGTGGGGTGGGTGGTTTCACGGTGGGGTGGGTGGGGTTCATGGTGGGTGGGTAGGGTGGGTGGGTGGGGTTCAGGGTGGGTGGGGTGGGTGGGATTCAGGGTGGGTGGGTGGGTGGGGTTCATGGTGGGGTGGGTGGGGTGAGTGGGGTTCACGGTGGGTGGGGTGGGTGGGGTTCATGGTGGGTGGGTAGGGTTCAGGGTGGGTGGGGTGGGTGGGGTTCAGGGTGGGTTGGTAGGGTGGGTGGGTGGGGTTCATGGTGGGTGGGGTGGGTGGGGGTCATGGTGGGTGGGTAGGGTGGGTGGGGTTCACGGTGGGTGGGGTGGGTGGTTTCACGGTGGGTGGGTAGGGTGGGTGGGTGGGGTTCACGGTGGGTGGGGTGGGTGGTTTCACGGTGGGTGGGTGGGTAGGGTGGGTGGGGTTCACGGTGGGTGGGGTGGGTGGTTTCATGGTGGGTGGGTAGGGTGGGTGGGTGGGGTTCACGGTGGGTGGGGTTTACGGTGGGTGGGGTTTACGGTGGGTGGGGTTCATGGTGGGTGGGGTGGGGTGGGTGGGGTGGGTTCACGGTGGGTGGGTGGGTAGGGTGGGTGGGGTTCATGGTGGGTGGGTTCACGGTGGGTGGAATGGGTGGTTTCACGGTGGGTGGGTGGGTAGGGTGGGTGGGGTTCACGGTGGGTGGGGTGGGTGGTTTCACGGTGGGGTGGGTTGGGTGGGGTTCATGGTGGGTGGGTGGGGTGGGTGGGTGGGTGGGGTGGGTGGGTGGGTGGGGTGGGTGGGTGGTGTGGGTGGGGTGGGTAGGTGGGGTGGGTGGGTGGGTGGGGTTCAGGGTGGGTGGGGTGGGGTGGGTGGGGTTCAGGGTGGGTGGGGTGGGTGGTTTCACGGTGGGGTGGGTTGACTGGGGTTCATGGTGGGTGGGGTGGGTGGGTGGGGTGGGTGGGGTGGGGTGGGTGGGGTTCAGGGTGGGGTTCAGGGTGGGTTCAGGGTGGGTTCATGGTGGGTGGGGTTCAGGGTGGGTGGGGTGGGTGGGTTCACGGTGGATGGTACAGAACTCTCGTTTTCCTGTAACCCCCCCCCCCCCGTGCCCCCTCCCCCCCCCCGTGCCCCCCCCCTCCCCCCCCAGACGCTGTACCAGCACATTGTGAGTGACATCCGGGGCATCAACGCCAAGCACAGGAACAATCGTGTTAACACGGTGAGCGTGGGGTGAGCGTGGGGTGAGCGTGGGGTGAGTGGTGAGCGTGGGGTGAGCGTGGGGTGAGTGGTGAGCGTGGGGTGAGCGTGGGGTGAGTGGTGAGCGAGCGTGGTGAGCGTGGGGTGAGTGGTGAGCGTGGGGTGAGTGGTGAGCGTGGGGTGAGTGGTGAGCGTGGGGTGAGTGGTGAGCGTGGGGTGAGTGGTGAGCGTGGGGTGAGTGGTGAGCGTGGGGTGAGCGTGGGGTGAGTGAGTGGTGAGCGTGGTGAGTTCGTGGTGAGTAATTGGTGAGTGCGTGGTGAGTAATTGGTGAGCGTGGTGAGTAATTTTTGAGCGTGGTGAGTGCGTGGTGAGTAATTGGTGAGTGTGGTGAGTGAGTGGTGAGTTCGTGGTGAGTAATTGGTGAGCGTGGTGAGTAACTTGTGAGTAATTGGTGAGTAATTGGTGAGCGTGGTGGGTAACTGGTGAGCGTGGTGAGCGAGTGAGTGTTGAGTAATTGGTGAGTGCGTGGTGAGTAACTGGTGAGTGCTAGGTGAGTTCGTGGTGAGTAATTGGTGAGCGTGGTGAGTAACTGGTGAGCGTGGTGAGTAATTGGTGAGTTCGTGGTGAGTAACTGGTGAGCGTGGTGAGTAATTGGTGAGTTCGTGGTGAGTAACTGGTGAGCGTGGTGAGCGAGTGAGTGGTGAGTAATTGGTGAGCGTGGTGAGCAACTGGGGAGCGTGGTGAGTAACTGGTGAGCGTGGTGAGTAACTGGTGAGCGTGGTGAGTGCTAGGTGAGTTCGTGGTGAGTAATTGTTGAGCGTGGTGAGTAACTGGTGAGCGTGGTGGGTAACTGGTGAGCGTGTTGAGTAATTGGTGAGCGTGGTGAGTAACTGGTGAGCGTGGTGAGTAACTGGTTAGCGTGGTGAGTAACTGGTGAACGTGGTGAGTAATTGGTGAGCGTGGTGAGTAATTGGTGAGCGTGGTGAGTAATTGGTGAGCGTGGTGAGTAACTGGTGAGCGTGGTGAGTAACTGGTGAGCGTGGTGAGTAATTGGTGAGCGTGGTGAGTAACTGGTGAGCGTGGTGAGTAATTGGAGAGCGTGGTGAGTAATTGGTGAGCGTGGTGAGTAACTGGTGAGCGTGGTGAGCGAGTGAGTGGTGAGTGATTGGAGAGCATGGTGAGTAACTGGTGAGCGTGGTGAGTAACTGGTGAGCGTGGTGAGTAACTGGTGAACGTGGTGAGTAATTGGTGAGCGTGGTGAGTAATTGGTGAGCGTGGTGAGTAATTGGTGAGCGTGGTGAGTAACTGGTGAGCGTGGTGAGTAACTGGTGAGCGTGGTGAGTAATTGGTGAGCGTGGTGAGTAACTGGTGAGCGTGGTGAGTAATTGGAGAGCGTGGTGAGTAATTGGTGAGTAATTGGTGAGCGTGGTGAGTAACTGGTGAGCGTGGTGAGCGAGTGAGTGGTGAGTGATTGGAGAGCGTGGTGAGTAACTGGTGAGCGTGGTGAGTAACTGGTGAGCGTGGTGAGTAACTGGTGAGTGCGTGGTGAGTAATTGGTGAGCGTGGTGAGTAACTGGTGAGCGTGGTGAGTAATTGGTGAGCGTGGTGAGTAACTGGTGAGCGTGGTGAGTAATTGGTGAGTAACTGGTGAGCGTGGTGAGTAACTGGTGAGCGTGGTGAGTTTGCAGGCTCTGCAGAACTTCCTGTACTCCATGGTACGAGACAGCAACAGTACAGCAGCCAAGATGGCGCTGGACGTGATGGTCCAGATGTACAAACGCAACGTGTGGTGAGGAACGCTCACCACCCACACGCTCACCACCCACACGCTCACCACCCACACGCTCACCACCCACACGCTCACCCACACGCTCACCCATTCACCCACACGCTCACCCACACGCTGACCCACCCACACACTCACCCACCCACACGCTCACCACCCACACGCTCACCCACCCAGATGCTCACCCACACGCTCACCCATTCACCCACACGCTCACCCATTCACCCACACGCTCACCCATTCACCCACACGCTCACCCATTCACCCACACGCTCACCCACCCACACGCTCACTCACCCACATGCTCACCCACCCACACGCTCACCCACCCACACGCTCACCCACCCACACGCCCACCCACCCACACGCTCACCCACACGCTGACCCACCCAGACGCTCACCCATCCAGACGCTCACCACCCACATGCTCACCCACCCACACGCTCACCCACCCAGACGCTCACCCATTCACCCACACGCTCACCACCCACCCACACGCTCACCACCCACCCACACGCTCACCCACCCACACGCTCACCCACCCAGACGCTCACCCACTCACACGCTCACCCACCCACACGCTCACCCACCCACACGCTCACCCACCCACACGCTCACCCATTCACCCACACGCTCACCCACCCACACGCTCACTACCCACACGCTCACCACCCACACGCTCACCCACCCAGACGCTCACCCACTCACACGCTCACCCACCCACACGCTCACCCACCCACACGCTCACCCACCCACACGCTCACCCACCCAGACGCTCACCACCCACACGCTCACCTACCCAGACGCTCACCCATTCACCCACACGCTCACCCATTCACCCACACGCTCACCCATTCACCCACACGCTCACCCACCCACACGCTCACCCACCCACACGCACACCCATTCACCCACACGCTCACCCACCCACACGCTCACTACCCACACGCTCACCACCCACACGCTCACCCACCCAGACGCTCACCCACTCACACGCTCACCCACCCACACGCTCACCCACCCACACGCTCACCCCACCCACACGCTCACCCACCCAGACGCTCACCACCCACACGCTCACCTACCCAGACGCTCACCCATTCACCCACACGCTCACCCATTCACCCACACGCTCACCCATTCACCCACACGCTCACCCACCCACACGCTCACCCACCCACACGCTCACCCATTCACCCACACGCTTACCCACCCAAACGCTCACCCACCCACACGCTCACCCACCCAGACGCTCACCCACCCACACGCTCACCCACCCAGACGCTCACCCACCCACACGCTCACCCACCCACACGCTCAGCCACCCACACGCTCACCCACCCACACGCTCACCACCCACCCACACGCTCACCCACCCACACGCTCACCCACCCACACGCTCACCACCCACCCGCTCACCACCCACCCACTCACTCACCTACCCACTCGCCCACCCACTCACCCACTCACTCACCCACCCACCCACCCACTCGCTGTAGATGGGACGGTGATTGTGGTCGGTAATTGATGCGAGTGTTGCGTTCATTCATTCAGCGTTGGGACGTTGGTGATGGTGGTGGTGATGGTGGTGATGGTGGTGATGATGGTGGTGGTTGTGATGATGATGGTGGTGATGATGGTGATGATGGTGGTGGTGGTTGTGATGATGATGGTGATGATAGTGATAATGGCGGTAATTGTGACGTTGGTAATGATGATGATAACGATGGTGATGATGGCGGTGATGATGGTGATGGTGGTGATGATGGTGATGATGGTGATGGTGGTGGTGATGATGGTGATGATGGTGGTGGTTGTGATGATGATGGTGATGATGATGGTGATGATGGTGATGATGGTGGTGGTGGTTGTGATGATGAGGGTGATGATAGTGATAATGGCGGTAATGGTGACGTTGGTAATGATGATGGTAACGATGGTGATGATGGCGGTGATGATGGTAATGTTGTGGTGATCTCAGGAACGATGCAAAGACGGTGAATGTGATCAGCACAGCCTGCTTCTCCAGCGTCACCAAGGTGAGCCACTCACCCTCCCGCTCACCCTCCCGCTCACCCGCCCGCTCACCCACCCGCTCACCCACCCACTTACCCATCCGCTCGCCCACCCACTCACCCACCCGCTTCACCCACCCTCTCACCCACCCGCCCACCCGCTCACCCACCCGCTCACCCATCCGCTCACCCGCCCGCTCACCCACCCGCTCACCCACCCACTCGCCCACCCGCTCACCCACCCGCTCACCCACCCGCTCACCCACCCACTCACCCACCCGCTCACCCTCCCGCTCACCCACCCGCTCGCCCTCCCGCTCACCCACCCACTCACCTACCCGCTCACCCACCCGCTCACCCACCCGCTCACCCACCCTCTCACCCATCCGCTCACCCGCTCACCCGCTCACCCACCCTCTCACCCACCCGCTCACCCACCCTCTCACCCACCCGCCCACCCGCTCACCCACCCGCTCACCCACCCTCTCACCCACCCTCTCACCCACCCTCTCACCCACCCGCTCACCCACCCGCTCACCCACCCACTCGCCCACCCGCTCACCCACCCGCTCACCCACCCGCTCACCCACCCGCTCACCCACCCTCTCACCCACCCGCCCACCCGCTCACCCATCCGCTCACCCACCCGCTCACCCACCCGCTCACCCACCCTCTCACCCACCCTCTCACCCATCTGCTCACCCACTCACCCAACCGCTCACCCACCTGCTCACCCACCTGCTCACCCACCTGCTCACCTACCCTCTCACCCACCCTCTCACCCACCCGCTCACCCACCCGCTCACCCACCCGCTCGCCCACCCGCTCGCCCACCCGCTCATCCACCCGCTCGCCCACCCGCTCACCCACCCGCTCACCCACCCGCTCACCCACCCGCTCACCCACCCACCCACCCACTCACCCACCCACCCACTCACTCACCCACCCACCCACCCGCTTACCCACCCTCTCACCCACCCGCTCACCCACCCACTCGCCCACCCGCCCACCCGCTCACCCACCCGCTCACCCGCCTGCTCACCCACGCGCTCACCCACCCGCTCACCCACCCGCTCACCCACCCGCTCACCCGCTCACCCATCCGCTCACCCGCCCGCTCACCCACCCGCTCACCCACCCTCTCACCCATCCGCTCACCCGCTCACCCACCCACCCGCTCACCCACCCGCTCACCCATCCGCTCACCCATCCGCTCACCCGCCCGCTCACCCACCCGCTCACCCACCCGCTCACCCACCCGCTCACCCGCCTGCTCACCCACCCGCTCACCCACCCGCTCACCCACCCTCTCACCCACCCGCTCACCCACCCGCTCACCCACCCATTCACCCATCCACTCACCCACCTGCTCACTGTGTGTGTATGTATGTGCGTGTGTTTGTATCACTGTGTGTGTGCGTGTGTGTGTATCACTGTGTATGTATGTATGTGTGTATCACTGTGTGTGTGTGTGTGTAGATCACTATGTGTGTATCACTGTGTGTCACTGTGTGTGTGTGTGTATCACTGTGTGTGTGTAGATCACTGTGTGTGTATGTGTGTGTGTCACTGTGTATCACTGTATGTATATGTGTGTCTATCACTGTGTGTGTGTGTGTATCACTGTATGAATGTATGTGTGGGGAGCGATAGTGTAGCGGTTAGCGCGCTGCGCTATGAACCTGGCGACCCGGGTTCGATTCCCGCTCACGGCCAACACCAGTATCCGGTCCCGGGCCTCCCCTAGGTCCACTCAGCCTCAAATGAGTACCTGGTGCGGTGTGTAAACATCGCCACTAGGGAGACAAAGGCGGTCGGGCGTGGTGCTGGCCACCCACCCCCTCGTGTACCGTTCCGGCCTTCATAGGTGCTCACTAACAGCACTTGCCCCTACAGTCTGTTAAGGCTATACGGGGGATCTTTGTGACTGTGTGTATATGTGACTGTGTGTATATGTGACTGTGTGACTGTGTATGTGACTGTGTGACTGTGTGTATATGTGACTGTGTGACTGTGTGTATATGTGACTGTGTATGTGACTGTGTGACTGTGTGTATATGTGACTGTGTGACTGTGTGTATATGTGACTGTGTGACTGTGTGTATGTGTATGTGACTGTGTGTATGTGACTGTGTGTGTGACTGTATATGTATGTATATATATGTGTGTATGTGACTGTGTGTATATGTGACTGTGTGACTTTGTGTATGTGTGACTGTGTGACTGTGTGTATGTGACTGTGTATGTGACTGTGTGACTGTGTGTATGTGTATGTGACTGTGTGTGTGTGTGTCACTGTATGTGTATGTCACTGTGTGTGTATGTATATGTATGTGACTGTGTGACTGTGTGTATATGTGACTGTGTATATGTGACTGTGTGACTGTGTGTATATGTGACTGTGTGACTGTGTGTATATGTGACTGTGTAACTGTGTGTATATGTGACTGTGTGTATATGTCACTGTGTGTATATGTCACTGTCACTGTGTGACTGTGTGTGTATGTGACTGTGTGACTGTGTATATGTGACTGTGTGACTGTGTATGTGACTGTGTGACTGTGTGTATATGTCACTGTGTGACTGTGTATATGTATGTATATATGTATGTGACTGTGTGACTGTGTATGTGACTGTGTGACTGTGTGACTGTGTGTGTCACTGTGTGTGTCACTGTGTGACTGTGTGATTGCGTGACTGTGTGTGTCACTGTGTGACTGTGTGACTGTGTGTGTCACTGTGTGACTGTGTGTGTCACTGTGTGACTGTGTGACTGTGTGTGTCACTGTGTATATGTATGTATATATATGTGTTACTGTGTGACTGTGTCACTGTGTCACTGTGTGACTGTGTGTATGTGTCTGTGTGTATGTATATGTGACTGTGTGTGACTGTGTGACTGTGTGTATGTGTGTATGTATATGTATATGTGTGACTATGTGTATGTGACTGTGTGTGTATGTGACTGTGTGACTGTGTGTATATGACTGTGTGTGTATGTATATGTGTATGTGTGACTGTGTATATGTGTATGTGACTGTGTGTGTATGTGACTGTGTGTATGTATATGTATATGTGACTGTGTGACTGTGTGTGTCACTGTGTATATGTATGCATATATGTGTGACTGTGTGACTGTGTGTCACTGTTTCACTGTGTGACTGTGTGACTGTGTATGTATATATGTGTGTGACTGTGTGTGTGTGTCACTGTGTGACTGTGTGTCACTGTGTGACTGTGTATGTATATATATGTATGTGACTGTGTGACTGTGTGTATGTGTGTATGTATATGTGTCACTGTGTGTGTGTGACTGTGTGACTGTGTATATGTATATGTGTGTATGTATATGTGTATGTCACTGTGTGGCTGTGTAACTGTGTGTGTCACTGTGTGACTGTGTATATGTGTATGTGTGTGTGTGACTGTGTATGTGTGTATGTGACTGTGTGACTGTGTGTGTGTGACTGTGTATGTGTGTATGTGTATATGTGACTGTGTGTGTGTATGTGACTGTGTATGTATATATGTATGTGACTGTGTATGTGTGTATGTGTGACTGTGTGACTGTGTATGTATGTGACTGTGTGACTGTGTGACTGTGTGTGTCACTGTGTATATGTATGTATATATGTATGTATATATATGTGACTGTGTATGTATGTGACTGTGTATGTGACTGTGTATGTGTGTATGTGACTGTGTGACTGTGTATATGTGTATGTGACTGTGTGTGTATGTGACTGTGTGTATGTGACTGTGTGTATGTGACTGTGTGTATGTATGTGTGACTGTGTATGTATATGTGTATGTGACTGTGTATGTGTTTGTGTGTATGTGACTGTGTATGTGACTGTGTGTGTGTGTGTATGTGACTGTGTGACTGTGTGTGTGTATGTGACTGTATGTGTGTATGTGACTGTGTATGTATATATGTATGTGACTGTGTGTGTATGTGTGTGTGACTGTGTATATGTGTATGTGTATGTGACTGTATATGTATATGTGTATGTGTGTATGTGACTGTGTGTGACTGTGTATATGTGTATGTGACTGTGTGTGTATGTGTATGTGTGTATGTGACTGTGTGTGACTGTGTATATGTGTATGTGACTGTGTGTGTGTATGTGTGTATGTGACTGTGTGTGTGTGACTGTGTGTGACTGTGCATGTGTGTATGTGACTGTGTGTGTGTATATGTATGTGACTGTGTGTGTATATATGTGTGTATGTCACTGTGTGTGTGTGTATGTCACTGTGTGTGTATGTCACTGTGTGTGTGTGTGTGTCACTGTGTGTGTGTGTGTGTATGTCACTGTGTGTGTGTGTGACTGTGTGTGTGTGACTGTGTGTATATATGTGTATATATGTGTGTGTGTGTCACTGTGTGTGTGTATGTCACTGTGTGTGTGTGTGTATGTCACTGTGTGTATGTCACTGTGTGTGTGTGCGTGTATGTCACTGTGTGTATGTCACTGTGTATATATGTGTGTGTGTATGTGACTGTGTGTGTATGTGACTGTGTGTATGTCACTGTGTATGTGTATGTCACTGTGTGTGTGTATATGTATATATATGTGTATATATGTGTGTGTGTATGTCACTGTGTGTGTGTGCGTCTAGATCACGGTGGCTGCCCTGACGTTCTTCCTGGGCCGGGACGAGGAGGAGGAGGGGGGCAGTGGCAGTGACGACTCAGGGGTGAGGGGGGGGTGAGGGTGGGGGGGGTGAGGGTGGGGGGGGTGAGGGTGGGGGTGACTGGGTGGGTGGGTGGGTGGGTGGGTGGTTGGGTGGGTGGGTGTGTGGTTGGGTGGGTGGGTGGGTGGTTGGGTGGGTGGGTGTGTGGTTGGGTGGGTGGGTGGGTGGTTGGGTGGGTGGGTGGGTGGGTGGTTGGGTGGGTGGGTGGGTGGTTGGGTGGGTGGTTGGGTGGGTGGGTGGGTGGTTGGGTGGGTGGGTGGGTGGTTGGGTGGGTGGGTGGGTGGTTGGGTGGGTGGTTGGGTGGGTGGTTGGGTGGGTGGGTGGGTGGTTGGGTGGGTGGGTGGGTGGTTGGGTGGGTGGTTGGGTGGGTGGGTGGGTGGTTGGGTGGGTGGGTGGGTGGTTGGGTGGGTGGGTGGGTGGTTGGGTGGGTGGGTGGGTGGTTGGGTGGGTGGGTGGTTGGGTGGGTGGATGGGTGGTTGGGTGGGTGGTTGGGTGGGTGGGTGGGTGGTTGGGTGGGTGGGTGGTTGGGTGGGTGGGTGGGTGGTTGGGTGGGTGGGTGGGTGGTTGGGTGGGTGGGTGTTAAGGCTATACAGGGGATCTTTGTCTTTGTGTATCACTGTGTCACTGTGTGTGTGTCACTGTGTGTGTATGTCTCACACACACACAGTGACACACACCACCAAAACTAAGCACCTGCCTGGGTATTTTGTACCATCGGACACTCCACCCCCACAACTCCCAATCGGTGATGGGGCAGTTGTGGAGAGAGTGGAGAGTTTCCCATACCTGGGCAGTGTGCTTATGACTGGCTCCAGTTTAACAGCAGAGGTCTCACTCCGAATCAGTCGAGCGGCAATATCTTTTCATCGGTTGCGTAACGCTGTGTGGAAGCTACCTGGTCTGTCGCTCCGCACTAAGCTTCAGGTCTTCTCGGCCACGGTCATTCCCTCCCTTCTCTTCGCTTGCGAAACGTGGACCCCCCTAATGGAACATCTTCGCCGGTTAGAAACATTTAGGCTGGCCTGCCTAAGATCCATCCTGGGTTTAACTAGGCTGGATTGTGTGAGGAGCTCACAAATCCTTGAAAGATCTGGGCAAGGTCCCATTGGTGAGCTCCTCCGGCGGGCAAGGCTGCGATGGCTGGGTCATGTAGCCCGCATGCCCAGCCACCGCATGCCGAAACAGCTTTTGTTCGGCCGGATTGAGGGGGCTAAGCGGGCGCGGCACGGGCTAGAGAAGAGATGGAGTGATGTGGTACAGGAGGACGTGGAGCTGAGTGGACTTGCCGATGACTGGTACCAGCGGTGTCAAGATCGGCCTCTGTAGAGGAGGCTCGTGAAGGACGCTACTGGGCAGTTGGAGGCAGTCGCCCTCCAACAACAACGGAGGGCGGAGGAGCGACGCTCACAACAACGAGCGGAGCGCCGGGTGGCTAAAGCACAGCAGGTTGCCACAGTAGGGGGCACAGGTGGTGCATCAGCTAGTCATCTCAGTCAGTCGACCCGTGGCACCTGGGTCTGCCCCGTGACCTCCTGCCAGCGGTCGTTCGACACTTCACGTGGCCTCAGGGTGCACATAGCCTGGCACAAGCGTCGTGGTGACGTCACCACCACTTAGTGGCGAATGGCGGTTGTTGTTGTGTCACTGTGTGTGTGTCACTGTGTGTGTGTCAGGATGATTTGGAGCGGGTGTCTGCACGTGACCTCATGCTGTGTGTGTGTCACTGTGTGTGTGTGTCACTGTGTGTGTGTCACTGTGTGTCACTGTGTGTGTGTCACTGTGTGTCACTGTGTGTCAGGATGATTTGGAGCGGGTGTCTGCACGTGACCTCGTGCTGTGTGTGTGTCACTGTGTGTGTGTGTCACTGTGTGTGTGTGTGTCACTGTGTGTGTGTGTCACTGTGTGTCACTGTGTGTTACTGTGTGTGTGTCACTGTGTGTGTGTCACTATGTGTGTGTCACTGTGTGTGTGTGTGTGTCACTGTGTGTGTGTCACTGTGTGTGTGTGTGTCACTGTGTGTGTCACTGTGTGTGTGTCACTGCGTGTGTGTGTCACTGCGTGTGTGTGTCACTTTGTGTGTGTGTGTCACTGTGTGTGTGTGTCACTGTGTGTGTGTCACTGTGTGTGTGTGTCACTGTGTCAGGATGATTTGGAGCGAGTGTCTGCACGTGACCTCATGCTGTGTGTGTGTCACTGTGTGTCACTGTGTGTCACTGTGTGTGTGTCACTGTGTGTGTCACTGTGTGTGTGTGTCACTGTGTGTGTGTCACTGTGTGTGTCACTGTGTGTGTGTCACTGTGTGTGTCACTGTGTGTGTGTGTCAGGATGATTTGGAGCGAGTGTCTGCATGTGACCTCATGCTGTGTGTGTGTCACTGTGTGTGTCACTGTGTGTGTGTCACTGTGTGTGTGTCACTGTGTGTCACTGTGTGTGTGTGTGTCAGGATGATTTGGAGCGAGTGTCTGCACGTGACCTCTTGCTGTGTGTGTGTCTCTGTGTGTGTGTCACTGTGTGTGTGTCACTGTGTGTGTGTCACTGTGTGTGTGTCACTGTGTCACAGTGGGGAGCGGTAGTGTAGCGGTTAGCGCGCTGCGCTATGAACCTGGCGACCCGGGTTCGATTCCCGCTCACGGCCAACACCAGTGACGATTGTCTGAACCGGTCCCGGGCCTCCCCTAGGTCGACTCAGCCTAAAATGAGTACCTGGTGCGGTGTGTAAACATTGCCACTAGGGAGACAAAGGCGGTCGGGCGTGGTGCTGGCCACCCACCCCCTCGTGTACCGTTCCGGCCTTCAAAGGTGCTCGCTAACAGCACTTGCCCCTACAGTCTGTTAAGGCTATATGGGGGATCTTTGTTTGTCTTTGTTGTGTCACTGTGTGTGTGTGTCACTGTGTGTGTATCACTGTGTGTGTGTCTGCACGTGACCTCATGCTGTGTGTGTGTCTGTGTGTGTGTCACTGTGTGTGTGTGTCACTGTGTGTGTGTGTCACTGTGTGTGTGTGTCACTGTGTGTGTGTCACTGTGTGTGTGTGGGTCACTGTGTGTGTGTGTGTCACTGTGTGTGTCACTGTGTATGTGTGTGTCACTGTGTGTGTCACTGTGTGTGTGTGTGTCACTGTGTGTGTGTGTGTCACTGTGTGTGTGTGTGTGTGTGTCACTGTGTGTGTCACTGTGTGTGTGTGTCACTGTGTGTGTGTGTCACTGTGTGTGTGTGTCACTCTGTGTGTCACTGTGTGTGTGTGTCACTGTGTGTGTCACTGTGTGTGTGTGTCACTGTGTGTGTGTGTCACTGTGTGTGTGTGTGTCACTGTGTGTGTGTGTCACTGTGTGTGTCACTGTGTGTGTGTGTCAGGATGATTTGGAGCGAGTGTCTGCACGTGACCTCATGCTGTGTGTGTGTCACTGTGTGTGTGTCACTGTGTGTGTGTCACTGTGTGTGTGTCTGTCACTGTGTGTCACTGTGTGTGTGTGTCAGGATGATTTGAAGCGAGTGTCTGCACGTGACCTCATGCTGTGTGTGTGTCACTGTGTGTGTGTCACTGTGTGTGTGTCACTGTGTGTGTGTGTGTCACTGTGTGTGTGTGTCACTGTGTGTCACTGTGTGTGTGTGTCAGGATGATTTGGAGCGAGTGTCTGCACGTGACCTCATGCTGTGTGTGTGTCACTGTGTGTGTGTCACTGTGTGTGTGTCACTGTGTGTGTGTGTGTGTCACTGTGTGTGTGTGTGTCACTGTGTGTCACTGTGTGTGTGTGTCAGGATGATTTGGAGCGAGTGTCTGCACGTGACCTCATGCTGCGTTTCTCCACCGGCAAGAAGAGCAGCAAGAAACGTAAACGCCTCGACCACGCACTCCACTCCCTGCAGGTACTCACCACTCACCAACACACTCACCACTCACCACTACACTCACCACTCACCAACACACTCACCACTCACCAACACACTCACCAACACACTCACCAACACACTCACCAACACACTCACCAACACACTCACCACGCACTCCACTCCCTGCAGGTACTCACCAACACTCACCACTCACCACACTCACCACTCACCACTCACCAACACACCACGCACTTCACTCCCTGCAGGTACTCACCACTCACTACACTCACCACTCACCACACTCACCACTCACCAACACACTCACCACTCACCACTACACTCACCACTCACCACCCACCACTACACTCACCACACTCACCACTCACCACACTCATCACTCACCAACACTCACCACTCACCACACTCACCACTCACCACTCACCAACACACTCACCACTCACCAACACACCACGCACTCCTCTCCCTGCAGGTACTCACCACTCACCACTCACCACACTCACCAACACACTCACCACTCACCAACACACTCACCACGCACTCCTTTCCCTGCAGGTACTCACCACTCACCACACCACTCACCACACACCACTCACCAACACTCACCACTCACCACACTCACCAACACACTCACCACTCACCACTCACCAACACACTCACCAACACACTCACCACTCACCAACACACTCACCACTCACCACTCACCAACACACTCACCACTCACCAACACACTCACCACTCACCACTCACCAACACACTCACCACTCACCACTCACCAACACACTCACCACTCACCAATCACTACACTCACCACTCACCAACACACCACTCACCAACACACTCACCACACTCACCAACACACTCACCACTCACCAACACACTCACCACTCACCACGCACTCCACTCCCTGCAGGTGCTCACCAACACACTCACCACTCACCAACACACTCACCAACACACTCACCACTCACGAACACACTCACCAACACACTCACCACTCACCAACACACTCACCAACACACTCACCACTCACCACCACACTCACCACTCACCAACACACTCACCAACACACTCACCACTCACAACTCACCACACTCACCAACACACCACTCACGACCACACTCACCACTCACCAACACACTCACCACTCACCAACACACTCACCAACACACTCACCAACACACTCACCACTCACCAACACACTCACCAACACACTCACCACTCACCAACACACTCACCACTCACCACCACACTCACCACTCACCAACACACTCACAACTCACCAACACACTCACCAACACACTCACCAACACACCACTCACCACAACACTCACCAACACACTCACCACTCACCAACACACTCACCACACTCACCAACACACCCACCACTCACCACTCACCAACACACTCACCACTCACTACACTCACCACTCACCACGCACTCCACTCACCATCACACTCACCAACACACTCACCACTCACCAACACACCACTCACCACACTCACCAACACACTCACCACTCACCACACTCACCAACACACTCACCACTCACCAACACACTCACCAACACACTCACCAACACACTCACCACTCACCAACACACTCACCACCACATTCACCACTCACACTCACCACCACACTCACCACTCACCACCACACTCACCACTCACACTCACCACCACACTCACCATCACACTCACCACCACACTCACCACCACACCCACAACTCACCACCACACTCACAACTCACCACCACACTCACCACCACATTCACCACTCACCACCACACTCACTACCACACTCCTCACCACACTCACCACCACACTCACCACTCACCACCACACCGCCACACTCACCAACACACTCACCACTCACCACCACACTCACCAACACACTCACCAACACACTCACCACTCACCACCACACTCACCAACACACTCACCACACTCACCACCACACTCACCACACGCACCACCACACTCACCACCACACTCACCACCACACTCACCACACTCACCACTCACACTCACCACTACACTCACCACCACACTCACCACTCACCAACACACTCACCACCACAATCACCACTCATCACTCACCATCACACTCACCACCACACTCACCATCACACTCACCACTACACTCACCACCACACTCACCACTCACCACTCACACTCACCACCACAATCACCACTCATCACTCACCATCACACTCACCACCACACTCACCATCACACTCACCACCACACTCACCATTCACCACCACACTCGCCACTCACCACCACACTCACCACCACACTCACCCTCACCACCACACTCACCACTCACCACCACACTCACCACCACACTCACCACTCACACTCACCACTCACACTCACCACTCACACTCACCACCACACTCACCACTCACCACCACACTCACCACCACCACACTCGCCACTACACTCACCACCACACTCACCAACACACTCACCAACACACTCACCACCACACTCACCACCACACTCACCACCATACTCACCACTCACACTCACCACCACACTCACCACTCACACTCACCACCACACTCACCACTCACACTCACCACTCACACTCACCACTCACCACCACACTCACCACTCACCCTCACCATTCACCACTCACACTCACCACTCACACTCACCACCACACTCACCACTCACCACCACGCTCACCACCACGCTCACCACTCACCACCACACTCACCACCACACTCACCACCACACTCACCACCACACTCACCACTCACCACACTCACCACCACACTCACCACCACACTCACTACTCACCACACTCACCACCACACTCACCACCACACTCACCACCACACTCACCACTCACCACCACACTCACCACTCACCACCACACTCACCACCACACTCACCACTCACCACCACACTCACCACCACACTCACCACTCACCACCACACTCACCACTGACCACACTCACCACCACACTCAACACTCACCACCACACTCACCACACTCACCACTCACCACCACACTCACCACCACACTCACCACCACACTCACCACCACACTCATCACTCAACACCACACTCACCACTCACCACCACACTCACCACTCACCACCACACTCACCACCACACTCACCACACTCACCACTCACTACCACACTCACCACTCACACTCACCACTCACACTCACCACTCACACTCACCACTCACTACCATACTCACCACCACACTCACCACTCACACTCACCACTCATCACTACACTCACCACCACACCACCCACCACACTCACCACCACACTCACCACTCACCAACACACTCACCAACACACTCACCACCACACTCACCAACACACTCACCACCACACTCACCACTCACCACCACACTCACCACACTCACACTCACCACCACTCACACTCACCACCACACTCACCACCACACTCACCACTCACCACCACACTCACCACCACACTCACACTCACCACCACACTCACACTCACCACCACACTCACCACCACACTCACCACTCACCACACTCACCACTCACCACTCACACTCACCACCACACTCACCACCACACTCACCACTCTCCACACTCACCATTCATCACTACACTCACCACCACACTCACCACTCACACTCACCACCACACTCACCACTCACCACCACACTCACCACCACACTCACCACTCACCACTCACCACACTCACCACTCACACTCACCACACTCACCACCACACTCGCCACTCACCACCACACTCACCACTACACTCACCACTCACCACCACACTCACCACCACACTCACCACTCACCACCACACTCACCACTCACCACCACACTCACCACTCACCACCACACTCACCACTCACCACCACACTCACCACCACACTCACCACACTCACCACCACACTCACCACCACACTCACCACACTCACCACCACACTCACCACTCACCACCACACTCACCACTCACCACTCACCACCACACTCACCACTCACCACCACACTCACCACCACACCACCCACCACACTCACCACCACACTCATCACTCACCACCACACTCACCACTCACCACCACACTCATCACTCACCACCACACTCACCACTCACCACCACACTCACCACCACACTCACCACACTCACCACTCACTACCACACTCACCACTCACCACTCACACTCACCACTCACCACCACACTCACCACTCAGACTCACCACCACACTCACCACCACACTCACCACCACACTCACCACTCACCACCACACTCACCACTCACACTCACCACCACACTCACCACTCACCACCACACTCACCATCACACTCACCACCACACCACTCACCACTCACCACCACACTCACCACTCACCACCACACTCACCACTCACCACCACACTCACCACCACACTCACCACTCACCACCACACTCACCACTCACCACCACACTCACCACCACACTCACCACCACACTCACCACTCACCACCACACTCACCACCACACTCACCACTCACCACCACACTCACCATTCACCACTCACCACCACACTCACACTCACCACCACACTCACCACCACACTCACCACCACACTCACCACCACACTCACCACTCACCACCACACTCACCACCACACTCACCACCACACTCACCACTCACCACCACACTCACCACCACACTCACCACCACACTCACCACTCACCACCACACTCACCACCACACTCACCACCACACTCACCACTCACCACCACACTCACCACTCACCACCACACTCACCACCACACTCACCATTCACCACTCACCACCACACTCACACTCACCACCACACTCACCACCACACTCATCACTCACCACCACACTCACACTCACCACCACACTCACCACCACACTCACCACTCACCACCACACTCACCACTCACCACCACACCACTCACCACTCACTACTCACCACACTCACCACCACACTCACCACTCATCACTACACTCACCACCACACTCACCACTCACCACCACACTCACCACTCACCACCACACTCACCACCACACTCACCATCACACTCACCACCACACTCACACTCACCACCACACTCACCACTCACCACCACACTCACCACTACACTCACCACTCACCACACTCACACTCACCACCACACTCACCACCACACCACTCACCACTCACCACCACACTCACCATCACACTCATCACTCACCACCACACTCACCACTCACCACCACACTCACCACCACACTCACCACCACACTCACCACTCACCACTCACCACACTCACCACCACACTCACCACTCACACTCACCACTCACACTCATCACTACACTCACCACTCACACTCACCACTCACACTCACCACTCACACTCATCACCACCACCCACCACACTCACCACCACACTCACCACCACACTCACCACCACACTCACCACTCACCACCACACTCACCACTCACCACCACACTCACCATTCACCACTCACCACCACACTCACCACCACACTCACCACACTCACCACCACACTCACACTCACCACCACACTCACCACTCACCACCACACTCACCACCACACCACTCACCATCACACTCACCACTCACCACCACACTCACACTCACCACCACACTCACCACCACACTCACCACCACACTCACCACTCACCACCACACTCACACTCACCACTCACCACCACACTCACCACTCACCACACTCACCACCACACTCACCACTCACCACTCACACTCACCACTCACACTCATCACTACACTCACCACTCACACTCACCACTCACACTCACCACTCACACTCACCACCACACTCACCACCACACTCACCACTCATCACTACACTCACCACTCATCACTACACTCACCACCACACTCACCATCACACTCACCACTCACCACACTCACCACTCACCACACTCACCACCACACTCACCACTCACCACCACACTCACACTCACCACCACACTCACCACCACACTCACCACCACACTCACCACTCACCACCACACTCACCACTCACCACCACACCACTCACCACCACACCACTCACCACTCTCCCCCCCCTGCAGAAGAAGAAGAAGAAACAGCAGCGGGGAAAGTCAGCGGCTGCCTTCAACTTCTCGGCCATTCACCTCCTGCACGACCCCCAGGGTCAGGGGGAGGGGGGAGGGGGGTTGGAGGAGTGGTGGTGGTGGTGGTGATGGTGGTAGTGGTGGTGGTGATGGTGGTGGTAGTGGTGGTGATTGTGGTGATGGTGGTGATGGTGATGGTGGTGATGATGGTGGTGGTGATGGTGGTGGTGGTGATGATGATGG